CAGTTTTTCGTTAATAAGGAAAAAACAAATACAAGCCGAATATAATGGTTTTCCCAAGAATAGGAAATTTTGGCATGCCTGATTCTCTATGAGGGCGGTATATATATATATATATATATATATATATATATATATATATATATATATATATATATATATATATATATATATATATATATATATATATATATTTGAAGGAAAGATGAGAAAGAAGGAGAAGAAAGGTTCAAGAAGTTAGAAGTAGTAGGGAATAGAAGCGAGTGGTAGGAAGAGAATTGGAGGATAGAAGAAGGGAAAAGAAAGAGGGAGGTGGGTAGAGGAGAGGAGAGAGGGAAAGATACTAAGGAGGAGGAAACACCTAGGGACCAAACACGGCAGCAACCCACACAACAGCGCGGGCACAGCATTTCAAGCACGGCCACTAAAGTTTCTCCACATATCCTTTTCACACAGTGCTATCCTCTTCACGCAGGGCCCCAGGAACAGACTCAACGGTAGATGTATAGGGAATTAAGGGTTGTCAAAGTGAAAGGGTGAGAAAAATAGAAAACGAAATCCCATTTGCGTCTATCATCTCCCTGCGACTGCATGTACTCAACTGCATACAGATGTTAAATTTAGAAGCGTATTTTGCCATCAATGCTCCCATTGCTGGCTCACCATAATTGTCAAAACCAGGGTGCACATTCAGCTGAATGGGCACCAAAGGTTAACCTTGGACCTCCCAATTACGTGGCTTGTTTTCAACCTGGAAAGCCAGAATTGACCCTTCCCCCCCCCAAAATCAATCCCCCCTCCCCCAAAAAATAGTTTCACCACCTGCCATTCTATTTTGCCTCCACCCGCCATTACGTTTCACCCCCTCCCGCCATTTCGTTTATTTCTGCCGTCCCCCCTCCAACCCCTCCCACCCTCTCCCCACTCCTCCTCCCCCCCCCCCCCCCTCCCCCCCTCCTCTCCCCACCAGCAAAATACCTGAAGCACCAGCTAAAAGTTGTTCTATGACGGTTTTTACCCCAAGTCGCCCTCCCCAAATCTTTTCCCGAGCCGCATTGAATGTGTACTTTGTTTTTAAAACCGGGGTGCACATTCACCTGGGTGGGCATCAGGGGTTATCCCTTGATCCCACATTACGGCCATTTTTTTCCTAAACCCCCAAATTTACAGTTTCCCATTTTGAATGTGTACCCCGGTTTTAAGGCCAACATGTTGTTCTTTGTAGGAGTAACAATCAGTGCCTTGGGGATGCGCTGATTCATCTTGATGTTGTGAATGAGAAATATTTTAAATTTACTCCAGTTAGGGTGAGGATACACGTTCCACTTACACCCACCCTCCTGCGCAACATTTTGAAGTGTTTGATGAGTTTGCAAACTCCAGTAGCTATGATGTGTTTGCCTGCATGAGTTCCTATCGCGTAACATCTGTTTGTCCAGTTTGCGCAGCCCAAGCTTTTGGGGCGTGAAACATGCTGAAACCATTAAAAAAATGTCCAGAGGAAGCTGTTCCTTTTCAGCTCAGTTCCCAACCGCATGATGGTGGCGTCCAGACTCTGTGCAAACCAAGAAGTTGGTACATCTTTTATGGCTTTCTTTCTTTCCCCATTGTACTTCAACTGTAGAATTTCATGTTCCAACCTTGTTTTCACACAATCTATGACACCGTGGGTAACATTTGCATGCAACTCTATTTGGTTTCCCAACTCCCTAAATTTTGCTATACAGTGGTTGGGGTGTGCTAGAATAGACTTGTTGCTGCAATACTCGTTGTAGCAAAACAGCCTGGAATATTCGCCAACGATTAGCGCAGTACTACAGCGTGTGGGAGGATTGAATTATGCACATCAACGTCGACAAGTGTACTTGCGGGAAAATAACAAACAGAATAAACTGACTAACCCACTATTTAACAAACTAAGGGTGGTTTGCATGATCAGATTTCAAGATGTTCCAGGCCCTCAGAGTTATAACTTGCTAAGCACTACCTCCTGCATCAATCTAGTTGCGTTTTATCTGCTTTTCTAAATATGATTCCCCCTCTCTATTCAGCTGACTGACTTACATGTTGCCTGTCCCCTCCCCAATATTACTCCTTGTCTTACCGGTGTGCCTTGCCTTTTCGACAGAAAGCAAACCCCAGCTCTAGCGGCTGTTTGAGAAGTCACATGAAAAAGGTCTTGCTACACGCGTAATTTTGTTAAGTGATTTTCTCCTCTTGCCAAACGCAATTGGTTCTACCTTACTTGGTTCACTTTTGTTCACATTCATAATTGTAACGAGAAAAATGGTAGTATATGTCAGAGTGGTTAGTGGTTAGTGGTTGGAATTCTGACATGGTATTCAGAATAGGTTTTTTTTATGTAGGACCGATCCTTAGGGCACACCGTTAGTCTTGTTCTTGCCAATTTTGTTTTCCTGCCCTGCCCTAACAGCGTCCCACACGCTGCCCTGCCCGAGCTCCCTCACATCTGCTGCCCTGTCCTGCGCGCGACCAGCGTAGTGCCAGTCGACCGCCCTACTGCCTGCCCTACGCGCGGCACGCGCGCTGCCTTGCACCTGCCCTGCCCGAGTCGCCTGCGCGTGCACTGCCTGCACACTGCGCGCGCTCTGCCTACGCGTCGCCCCTGCAGCCCGCGCGCCACCCGAACAGCCCGCGCGCCACCCCTGCAGCTCGCGCGCCGCCCCGTACAGCCTGCGCGCTGCTCGAACAGCCCGTGCGCTGCCTGCACAGCCCGCGTGCCGACCGCGCACTGCCCGCATGCTGCCTGCGCTGCCCACGCGCTGCATGCGCGCTGCCCCTGCTGCCCGTGCTCCGCCCACGCTCTGCCCGCACAGGCCGCGCCCTGCCATGCGCCGCCTGTGCGCGCCCTGCCCGCGCTGCAGCTGCTGCTACCCTGCCTGGGCACCGCCAGCGCTGCCTTGCACGCTTCCCAGTACTGCCCTGCCCGCTGCCCAGCACTGCCCTGTCCTGCCTGGCTGCTGCCAGTGCTGCCCTGCACGCTGCCCAGCGCTGCCCTGCCCTGCCTGGCCGCCGCCGGCACTGCCCTGCACGCTGCCTCGCAGATGCTGCCTGCTGCTGCCAGCCACTGCCGCTACTGCTGTCGCCGCTACAGCCCCTGCAAGTGCCGCTACAGCCTGCTACTGCTGTTTCAGCCCTGCTGCCCACGCACCCTGCATGCCCTGCTGCCCACGCGCCCTGCGCGCCCTTACTGCCCTAGCCACCCGCGCCCTGCTTTAGCCACTACAGCTGCCACAGTCGCAGCACCTCCCACTACAACTACTGCCCCTACAACTACCACTGCAGCCCTTGCACCGTTGCTGCCGATTGCTGCTGCTCGTCATGGCCACTCGTATAGGTGGTGCCACTGGTGGAGGCGGAGGTTCTCAGGGTGGAAAGTAGCAGCAGCCGCGTCAACCGGGACTCTCTCACCGCAGCAGCTTCAAGAGTGGGTTATTCGGCGAGGCCGCTCTGGTTGGGGTACTGGTGCTGGAGGTACTAGACAGCAGTGGCAGGCTCGTCGACAAGAGACTCTCTCGCCGCAGCAACTTCGGGAGTGGATTTCTTAGCAACAGGTCCCTGGTGGTTTAGAGGCTACTAGTCTAGGTGTCGTTGAGCCTGCTAGCACAGGTGCAGCCCTTGCGGAGGCTTTGCACGCCTTCACGCTTGACTCAGGCGCATTTCGCTGCTTCTTCCGTGACTGTACAACAGTCACACCGCTCACTACACCTGTCCTGGTCACTCTGGCTGACCCCTCTGGGGGCCCAGTAGTAGCACGTGCCTCCAACGTTCTCCTGTGTCCGGCAGCACCTTCCGGCTCACTTGCAGGTCTCCACCTCCCCTCGTTCACTACGAACTTGGTGAGTAACGCTGTCCTCCAGGACCGGTTTGTCACTATGACTACTCCTGGGGATGAGCTTGTGGCGATCTGTACGAACTCACGGACTGGTGCCCACCTTGCTATGTTCACTCGGAGACCCGGGTCTGGCCTGTACACTGACCACTGAGTCCGCACAGGTAGCTGCGTCGGGTCAGATGGCTGTGTCGTGCTCGTGTCGACTTCTCACACACCAGACTCTCCTCTAGCACCACCGTCTTGGTCACCCCTCCCTGCCGCGTCTGCGTATCATGCACTCCCGTCTCCTTGTCTCTGGCCTCCCCAGGTCCCTGCCCTCGCTTCCGCGCTTGCCTGCACCACCGTGCCTTCTCTGCGTCGAGGGGAGGCAGCGCGTCACTCCTCACTCCTCGTTTCCTCCTACCATTGCTCCTCTGCAGACTCTCCACATGGACGTGTGGAGCCCAGCCCGCGTTAGTGGACCAGACCGAGAGCGCTACTTTCTGCCGGTTGTTGACGACAACACGCGTTACACGACGGTCTTCCCCTTTGCGGAGCAAGGCCGATGTCCCTAATGTCTTGATCCCTTGGATCCGCACTATCCGTTGCCAGCTTTGCGTACGGTTCTGGCAGGACCTTCCGGTCCTGCGTCTGCACTCTGACAGAGGCAGTAGGTTTTCCTCCTGCCTCCTTGAGGCTTTTTGTCATGAGGAAGGCATCGCCCAGTCGTTCCTGCTTCCGGCATCTCTGCGGCAGAATGGGATTGCTGAGCACCGCATTGGCTTGATCATGGAATTTGCTTGCTCGTACCTCCATGATCCATGCGGTTGCTCCCCATTTTCTGTGGCCGTTTGCGGTCCGGTACGTCGCGCATCAGCTCAACCTCTGGCCTCGTGTCTCCGTGCAAGAGACCTCGCCTACACTGCGTTGGACGGGGGAGGTTGGCAATGCGTCGGTGTTTCGAGTCTGGGGTTCATATGCCTTGTCCGCGATACAACTGCGGACAAGCTCTCTTCTTGCACCATTCGCTGCGTCTTCCTTGGCTTTCCCGCCGACGTGTATGGCTGGCAATTTTACCACACAGCCTCGCGCCGCGTCCTATCCTCCCAGGATATCACCTTTGATGATTCGGTTTGCTTCTACCATCTCTACCCCGCCCGCAATACCCATGTCCCCCCCCCCCCCCCTACCTCTCTTCCTCGCTCCAGGTCCTCCCCCGGTTGACCCCCTCCCCCCACAGGATCCTGCTCCCTCAGGTGTGTCTCAGGTAGACCCATTCCCCTTGGTTGAGCCCTTGGAGGTTACCTCTAACACCTCTGGCCCAGCTGAGGGGGGTGACGTTGCTGTTGAGGACACAGCGGCCACTCGCCGCTCCCTGCGCTTGGAGACCCCTCCTGGTTTTCCACCTCAGCTGTCTACGCCGCCTCTGCAGCCTGTTGCTGTAGACTCCGGTGCTGCTGGGGATGGTGGCCCTGGGGGTGCGGACGGTGCAGGTGGGGACTCTGAAGGTGCTGAGTCTGGGGGTGCTGGTTCCGGGGGCACTGAGCGTCCTGATGGTGGTGGAGTCGTCGATGCTTCTGCCGAAGGTTCTGGGGGTGGGTGGCCAGCAGCAGCTGACTCGTCGACCCAAGGATCTCTCGCCACAGCAGCTTCGTGAGTGGGTTACTCGGCGGTTCCGCTCTGGTGGCGGCGGTGGAGGCACTGGTGCTGGAGCTCCTAGGCCTGACGCTGTTGGTGGTACTGGTGCTGGAGGCGCTGGAGCTGGAGGTTCTGGAGCTGCTGGAGGCACTGAGGCTGGAGATACTGGTGCTAGAGGCACTGGAGCTGTCAGTACTAGTACTGGAGGTGCTGGAGGTGCTGGTGCTGGAGGTGCTGTCGATGCTGGAGGCACTCGAGCCGGAGGTGCTGGAGGTGCTGGAGCTGGAGGTGCTGGAGTTGTAGGTCCTGGTGCTGGAGCTACTAGAGCTGCCAATGCTGGAGGCACTGGAGCTGTAGGTACTTGTACTGGAGGTACTGGAGGTGCTGGAGGTGTTGGAGTTGGAGGTGCTGGAGGTGCTGGTGCTGGAGGTACTGGAGCTGGAGGTGTTGGAGGTGCTGGTGCTAGAGCTGGAGGTACAGGAGTTGGAGGCTCTGGTACTGTGGGTACTGCACAGCGGCGAGTTTTTCTTGCCGCAGCCGCAGTCGTCACTACCACCACCTCGCTCGGTGCTTCGCCAGGTTCTTAGTCTTCCGTCTTCCACTAACCTTACTCCTCCCTTACTTTGTCCACCGCCTGAACCGTCTCAGACACAGTTGCCGCCGGACTCCCCACTGCCTGCTCCTTCTCCTTACACTTAGAAGCCAGACTCCTTGACAGAGCGACGTGAGCCTGCGTCTCATCATGCCTCGACTGTTCGCACGATTCGTTGTGCTCGTCATGTTCCTCGTCCTCGTCCTCCACGAGTCCCCGGCACTCACACTATGACACTTCGCACTTCCTCTGTTCCACGGCGTGTTTCTCTACCGTCTCATCCCGAGTCCTCCCTTCCTGACATTCGTGACCCTGAGTCCGACATAGTTCACGCTGCTCATCCTACTGCGCATCTCCTGGCCACAGTTGTCACTGACCCTACTTTTGTGTCTACTACTGCGTCTGCCTTAATCGCTGAGCTTGTAGACTTTGCTGCTACATGTCGTCTTGACTACGTCGCGAGTCTTATTATTGAGTCTGAGTCTGACTGTCCTCCGTCCGTCGGGGGTGAGCTTGCCCTTGGCACGGACGTCCTTGAGGACAGGCAGTTTGAACTCAAGTGTCTTGCGGCTGCTGTACCTCATCTCGCTGCCTTGGTGCTTGCCCCTGAGGGAGACCCGGATGCACTAGACATTACGACTCCGCGCTCTTACGCAGAGGCGATTTCGGGTCAGTACTCCTCTCAGTGGCAGACAGCCATGGACGCAGAGATGGCATCTTGGAAGTCCACAGGCACTTACGTCGACGCAGTTCCCCCACCTGGGGCGAACATAGTCGATGGCATGTGGATTTTTAGGGTGAAGCGGCCGCCGAGTTCTCCGCCTGTCTTCAAGGCGCGTTACGTTGCACGAGGCTTCAGTCAGTGACTTGGGGTCGACTTCTTCCAGACCTTCTCCCCCACCCCGAAGATGACCACTCTTCGGGTGTTACTGCACGTTGCAGCACAGCGTGACTACGAGCTCCACTCGCTTGACTTCAGCACAGCTTTCTACACGAAGAGATTTGGTTACGTCGCCCACCTGGCTTCACTGGGTCTTTTCCTGAGGGTACCCTGTGGAGCCTCCGGCGGCCAGTCTACGGTCTTCGCCAGGCGCCTCGTGAGTGGCACGCTGAGGACGACGCTTGCGGCTCTTGGGTTTGCTCCTTCGACTGCTGACCCGTCGCTGTTTCTACGCACCGACACTTCCCTGCCGCCGTTCTACATCCTTGTGTACGTCGACAACTTGGTCTTTGCTACTGCTGACACTGAGGCTCTCGCCCTCGTGAAGTCGGAGCTGCAGAAGAGACACACCTGCACTGACCTTGGTGAGCTGTGCAGCTATCTTAGTTTGCAGATCACTCGGGACAGAGCACGGCGCACCATCACCCTGTCTCAGTCACACATGGTGCAGCAGGTCCTTCAGCGCTTCGGCTTCCAGTTCTCCTCGCCACAGTCCACTCCTCTGCCTACAGGTCACTCGCTCTCAGCTCCACCTTCGGATGAGTCCGTAGAGCCGAGTGGTCCGTATCCGGAGCTTGTGGGCTGTCTCATTTACCTGATGACCTGCACACGGCCTGACCTCGCGTACCCTCTCAGCATCCTGGCACGCTACATTGCGCCCGAGACACCGACCAGAGCATTGGCGGGCTGCTAAGAGGGTGCTGCGTTACTTGTGCAGTACATCGGGCATGGGGCTCGTACTTGGAGGACGGGGTTCAGTTGTACTCACTGGACACTCAGTCGCCTCTTGGGCAGACGACCAGGCTACTCAACGATCGTTACAGGGTTACACCTTCAGCCTTGGCTCCGGTTCAGTTTCTTGGAGGTCTACCCGCTCGTCTTCTGTTCTCAGCTCCAGTTGTGAGGCTGAGATCTACGCGGGGGCCATGGCTGCACAGGAGCTACGCTGGCTGACCTAGCTGCTTACCAACTTAGGAGAGAGGCTTCGTTTTCTTCCAGTTCTGTACGTCGACAACAAGGCCATGATTGCCTTGTGTCAGGAGCACAGACTGGAGCACAGAACGAAGCATATCGCTCTGCGTTACTTCCTCGCACGAGAGTTGCAGCAGCGTGGTCAGCTTCGTCTTGCTTACGTGGGCTGACGGGCCAACATTGTTGATCTTTTCACCAAGGCACTTGTGTCTGGTGATCATCAGCGTTTCTGCACTGCTCTAGGCCTTGTGCCTACTCTGCCTCACTTGCTTATCTAGTGGCTTTGCCTTGTACTGTGTTCTAAATATATATACCTGCTTGTTTACTCTTGCTAGGGTGCGATCATTGTATTGTTAATGCTTTTGTATAACTAATCTTGCATGTGAACTGGCCTTATGGCCTCTTGCTTGTGCTCAGACTGTGTGGTGCCTTTGTGATCCACCTTAAGCTTGCTTTGCTTGCTTCTCTTAACTGGTCTTGTGATCGCTTGTTGTCCCCTACTTAGCCTATAGGGGTGTGTCAAATTATGCACTTATGTTGCTGTAGGCTATACTAGGGTACAACCCATGAGGGTTTCATATGTACCTCCTTTGTTCCTAGTCACATCCCATTCCTGTTCGATATTCTGACAGTATAATATTTCCAAAACACCACTCTTTTAAAATATGGGCCTCAGGCTCTTGCCGGGTCCTCTTCTAGGTGGATTGCACATGAACCATCAATACAAATTGCTGGTACAAACCGGAACAGCAGGTCAGGATCATTTTAATCGAGTACCACCACCATCGGCATCACCATCAGAAGCAGCACCAGCAGCAGCGGCATCAGCAGCAGCAGCTGCTACAGGAGCAGCCACATTAGCAGTTCTCCTCCCAGCAGCAGAAGCACTTCCAGAGTGACAATCAATCTCCAGTAATGGCAGCACCAGCAGTCACACTACTAGTACCAGCCGTAGCAGCAGCAACAGTATCAGCATCAGCACCTGTACCAGCACCACCACAATCCCCACCACCAACAGAACCAGTGGCACCATTGTTGGCATCAGCAGCAGTACCAGCATCACCACCAGGAGCATCAGCAGCAGCACTATTAGCAGCACCACCAGCAGTACTACCAGCAGCATCACCAGTAGCAGCACCAGGAGCATCAGCAACAGCAGCATCAGAAGCACCAGCAGCATCAGCAGCACCAGCAGCTTTCCTTAACCTCTCATCCTGTTCCTCCCCTTTTCTTGCTTCCACTTCCCTTGTAGCCTCCTCCCTTCTTTCTTCCACCTCCCTTCGCTCCTCATCATCCCTTGTATCGTCCTTATTATCCTCCTCGTCACTGTCATCTGTGCCATACGCCAGCAATCCTCTCAGCCCACCGCCCGCCCCATCCTCCACCTCCTCCACCTTTCTCTTCCCTCCCACCACTGCCGCACTCACACCACCACCATCGGCAGAACCAGCAGCATCAGCAGCACCAACAGAACGAGAAGCAGGAAGAGAAGAAGAGGAGCTAAGATCTGAAGGCGTAGCAGTGGCTCCCTTTGCAGCAGCTTTAACAGCAGGGGGCGATTTGAGAATCAAGACAGGCGGGGTATGTGGCACAGCCCGGCCTAGCCCGTCCCATGCTGTGGTCATGCCTTTGCCTGGTGGATGGTTGAAAGAAAAGAGTGGGGAAAGCAAAACATAAGATGATGTAAACAAACTGATAACCAAGACAGGCGGGGTGTGTGGCATGGCACGGCCTAGCCCGTCCCATGCTGTGGTCATGCCCTTGCCTGTGGATGGTTGAAAGAAAAGAGTGGGGAAAGCAAAACATAAGATGATGTAAACAAACTGATAATCAAGACAGGCAGGGTGTGTGGCATGGCACGGCCTAGCCCGTCCCATGCTGTGGTCATGCGTTTGCCTGGTGGATGGTTGAAAGAAAAGAGTGGGGAAAGCAAAACATAAGATGATGTAAACAAACTGATAATCAAGACAGGCGGGGTGTGTGGCATGGCACGGCCTAGCCCGTCCCATGCTGTGGTCATGCCTTTGCCTGGTGGATGGTTGAAAGAAAAGAGTGGGGAAAGCAAAACATAAGATGATGTAAACAAACTGATAATCAAGACAGGCGGGGTGTGTGGCATGGCACGGCCTAGCCCGTCCCATGCTGTGGTCATGCCTTTGCCTGGTGGATGGTTGAAAGAAAAGAGTGGGGAAAGCAAAACATAAGATGATGTAAACAAACTGATAATCAAGACAGGCGGGGTGTGTGGCATAGCACGGCCTAGCCAATCGTCCCATGCTGTGGTCATGCCTTTGCCTGGTGGATGGTTGAAAGAAAAGAGTGGGGAAAGCAAAACATAAGATGATGTAAACAAACTGATAATCAAGACAGGCGGGGTGTGTGGCATGGCACGGCCTAGCCCGTCCCATGCTGTGGTCATGCCTTTGCCTGGTGGATGGTTGAAAGAAAAGAGTGGGGAAAGCAAAACATAAGATGATGTAAACAAACTGATAATCAAGACAGGCGGGGTGTGTGGCATGGCACGGCCTAGCCCGTCCCATGCTGTGGTCATGCCTTTGCCTGGTGGATGGTTGAAAGAAAAGAGTGGGGAAAGCAAAACATAAGATGATGTAAACAAACTGATAATCAAGACAGGCGGGGTGTGTGGCACAGCCCGGCCTAGCCCGTCCCATGCTGTGGTCATGCCTTTGCCTGGATGAAGGGCGAATGGAAAGAAAAGAGTGAGAAAGAGTAAGAGAGAAAGGGGTGCGCAAGAGAAGTAGGCAGTTTGGGAATCATGAGGGGTGTGCGGCACGGCCCTGCGTAGCCCGTCCCATGCTGTGGTCATGCCTTTGCCTGTGAATGGTTGAAAGGAAGGTGAGCGAAAAAAGGAAGCCATGAGATTATTGATTGATCGCCGAGCCACGTGTCGTTGAGTTTGAGCCGCTCTTGCAGGCATGATTGTGGATGGTTGAAAGGAAGGTGGGCGAAAAAAGGGAGCCATGAGATAAATTGATTGATTCGATTGCTTTACAGTTTACCACGGAAACAGCAATTACCCAACCAAAGTACCGGCAGCTTACCAGGGGCATGAGGCGTGGCATGAATGACCGATCGCCGAGCCACGTGCCTCTTAAGTCTGAGCTGCCCTCGCAGACATGATAGCCAGTTTGACTCACACTCAACTCAAAGGCAACTTACCAGGGGCATGCGGCGTGGCATGAATGACTGATCGCCGAGCCACGTGCCTCTTAAGTCTGAGCTGCCCTTGCGGACATGATAGCCCTTGCTGACAGGAATGCCGGCTTGCCTTACAGCTGACCAAGACTGTAGCAGCTACCTACTAGGTGCATGCAGCGTGGCGTGGATATCTGATCGCCAGGCCACGCGTCTCTGAGTCTGAGCCGCCCTTGCGGACATGATTGCTTGCTGCCTTACAGTTGACTGCAAGTGCGGTCAAGTAGTGACCACTCAACTCAGAGGCAACTTACCAGGTGCGTGAGGCGTGGCGTGGACGACCGATCGTCGAGCCAGCCACGTGTCTGAGCCGGCCTTGCAGTCACCACTGCCAGCTTGCCTTACAGTTGATCACGAAAGTAGCAATCACCCATCCTAAGAGCAAGAAGCTTACCAGGTACGTGGGGCGTGGCATGGATGACCGATCGCCAAGCCACGTGTCTCTGAGTCTGAGTCGCCCTCACGGACATGATTGCCTGCTTGACTCACACCCAACTCAGGGCTACCTTACCAGGAGCATGCGGCGTGGCATGGACGATCGATCGCCGGGCCACGTGTCTCTGAGTCTGAGCCGCCCTTGGAGACATGATTGCCTACTAGCCTTACATGGCGAATGACCATGAGTGCGGCAATCACCAACCAAAGAGCCAGCAGCTTAGCTTATACACCAGTCGACTAAACGGCACCTTACCAGGTGCATGAGGCGTGGCATGGATGACTGATCGCCGGGCCACAAGTCTCTGAGTCTCAGCCGCCCTTGCAGCCTCCGCTGCCTCCTTGGCTTGGCTTACACGTGGCCACCAAAGCAGCAACGACCCAACCAACGGGAATGCAGCTTACCAGGCGCATGAGGTGTGGCATGGATGACTGATCGTCGGGCCACGTGTCTCTGAGTCTGAGCTGCTCTTGCAGACATGATTGCCTGCTGCCTTTCCATGCGCTCAGCCTCTGCTGCCTGTGTGAATGGACGAGAGGATTGACAAGCGGAGTCACAGAAACAGGCGAGGCAAGGCATGAGACAAGCCCATTGCCGTCTGCAACTGAGTCTGAGCTGCTCTTGCAGACATGATTGCTTACTGCCTCTCCACGCGCTCAGCCTCTGCTGCCTGTGTGAAGGCGGGCCAGATAGCTTTTGAGTCGACTCAAAAGCCACCTCAGCCTCTGCTGCCTGTGTGAAGGGGGGCCAGATAAGAGACACCATGAGATAGACTTCAAATCGAGACACCATGAGATAGACTTCAAATCGAGACACCATGAGATAGACTTCAAATCGAGACACCATGAGATAGGCTTCAAATCGAGACACCATGAGATAGACTTCAAATCGAGACACCATGAGATAGACTTCAAATCGAGACACCATGAGATAGACTTCAAATCGAGACACCATGAGATAGACTTCATATCGAGACACCATGAGATAGACTTCATATCGAGACACCATGAGATAGACTTCAAATCGAGACACCATGAGATAGACTTCAAATCGAGACACCATGAGATAGACTTCAAATCGAGACACCATGAGATAGACTTCAAATCGAGACACCATGAGATAGACTTCATATCGAGACACCATGAGATAGACTTCGTATCGAGACACCATGAGATAGACTTCAAATCGAGACACCATGAGATAGACTTCAAATCGAGACACCATGAGATAGACTTCATATCGAGACACCATGAGATAGACTTCAAATCGAGACACCATGAGATAGACTTCAAATCGAGACACCATGAGATAGACTTCAAATCGAGACACCATGAGATAGACTTCAAATCGAGACACCATGAGATAGACTTCGTATCGAGACACCATGAGATAGACTTCGTATCGAGACACCATGAGATAGACTTCAAATCGAGACACCATGAGATAGACTTCATATCGAGACACCATGAGATAGACTTCAAATCGAGACACCATGAGATAGACTTCAAATCGAGACACCATGAGATAGACTTCAAATCGAGACACCATGAGATAGACTTCAAATCGAGACACCATGAGATAGACTTCAAATCGAGACACCATGAGATAGACTTCAAATCGAGACACCATGAGATAGACTTCAAATCGAGACACCATGAGATAGACTTCAAATCGAGACACCATGAGATAGACTTCAAATCGAGTCACCATGAGATAGACTTCAAATCGAGACACCTCAAAAACGAATTTTGAGACATCTAAAGATTGAGAGGAACGGACGGAGCAAAAGAAGGGCATGCCATGCCAATACATCAAGGTGACTTTCGGGTCTACTCAAACTAAAATCGGGACAGCTCAAAACGAGCTTTGGGACATCTTAGGTTTGGAATTTAAGATGTCCCGATTGCAGCGTACGCATCACAAAGAGGAGGGGAGCAAAGAAGGGAATGCCAACCAACCAATGCATCCCTGTGCGCTGCTGCCTCCTGTGCTTGCCCGTGTGTTTGCACAAAAGAATCGTCTCACCCATGCAAGAAGAACTGACTGTATGCCGATGCATCACTGTGTGCTCTCTTCTTACCGCAAGTGCTCAACGTGTGTGCAGCGCGTGCGCTTGCCCGTCGTGTGTTTGCGCAAAAGAATCGTCTCACCCATGCAAGAAGAACTGCCTGTATGCCGATGCATCACTGTGTGCTCTCTTCTTACCGCACATGCTCAACGTGTGTGCAACGCGTGTGCTTGCCCGTCGTGTGTTTGCACAAAAGAATCGTCTCACCCATGCAAGAAGAACTGACTGTATGCCGATGCATCACTGTGTGCTCTCTTCTTACCGCAAGTGCTCAACGTGTGTGCAGCGCGTGCGCTTGCCCGTCGTGTGTTTGCGCAAAAGAATCGTCTCACCCATGCAAGAAGAACTGCCTGTATGCCGATGCATCACTGTGTGCTCTCTTCTTACCGCACATGCTCAACGTGTGTGCAACGCGTGTGCTTGCCCGTGTGTTTGCACAAAAGAATCGTCTCACCCATGCAAGAAGAACTGCCTGTATGCCGATGCATCACTGTGTGCTCTCTTCTTACCGCACGTGCTCAACGTGTGTGCAACGCGTGTGCTTGCCCGTGTGTTTGCGCAAAAGAATCGTCTCACCCATGCAAGAAGAACTGCCTGTATGCCGATGCATCACTGTGTGCTCTCTTCTTACCGCACATGCTCAACGTGTGTGCAGCGCGTGCGCTTGCCCGTCGTGTTTGCGCAAAAGAATCGTCTCACCCATGCAAGAAGAACTGCCTGTATGCCGATGCATCACTGTGTGCTCTCTTCTTACCGCACATGCTCAACGTGTGTGCAGCGCGTGCGCTTGCCCGTCGTGTGTTTGCGCAAAAGAATCGTCTCACCCATGCAAGAAGAACTGCCTGTATGCCGATGCACGGCACGTATGGCAAAGCATCACTGTATGTTACCTTCATATCATACATGCTCAGCGTGTGCAGCGCGTGTGCTTGCCCGTGTGCGTTCCCCAAAAAACAAACAAACAAACAAACAAACAAAAGTCTCCCTGCCGTCACTGGTCAGGCTCGCTCTGTGCCTTGCCCTCACCTAGATTTCTCTGTCTTACCCTGGCAAATGGGTCGTTGCAGAATTTGGAAATATGGCCCTTGCGCCCACACCTGGTTTGAAGGGAGGGACAACACGGGGAGGTAGAAACAGGGGTGCAGGGGCGGCAGCGGGCAGGGGTGGGGGTGGGGAGCGATTGTTTGGTGCACGCTCAGACCAACCGAGCGTCATCCTGGGCCAATGGGCCGTTGCCGAATTTGGAAATATGGCCCTTGCGAGCGACCACACCTGACGTCATGGGAGTGACAAGAAGAGTGGATGGACAAAGGGGAGGTGGACAAAGGGGAGGTGGACAAAGGGGAGGTGGACAAAGGGGAGGTGGACAAAGGGGAGGTGGACAAAGGGGAGGTGGACAAAGGGGAGGTGGACAAAGGGGAGGTGGACAAAGGGGAGGTGGACAAAGGGGAGGTGGACAAAGGGGAGGTGGACAAAGGGGAGGTGGACAAAGGGGAGGTGGACAAAGGGGAGGTGGACAAAGGGGAGGTGGACAAAGGGGAGGTGGACAAAGGGGAGGTGGACAAAGGGGAGGTGGACAAAGGGGAGGTGGACAAAGGGGTCTAGGGGCGGCGGCAGGGGTGGGGATGGGGGATGATTGTTTGGTGCACGATCAGATCAGACCATTCTGGCAAATGGGTCGCTGCAGATTTGGAGATATGGCCCTTGTGACAAATGCTGCACGTGCCTTCTAAGTCAAGAAGGGCAGGAGACGTACTTGTGGCAGGAGACAAGAAGGGCAGGAGACGTACTTGTGGCAGGAGACAAGAAGGGCAGGAGACGTATTTCTGAGATGACCCGTCTGGCCACAGATGCTGCACTGCAGGTGCTGCAGGTGCTGCAAATGCTGCACGTGCCTTTAATACCAGCTAATTCGAAACCCTAAACCGAGGGGTACTGCAAGTACTTGCGACAGAAGCCGTTGCGGCAGTTGCGTTGCAGATGGCCTGTCTGACCGCAGATGCTGAAGGTGACCCGTTTGACTGCAGATGCTGCTGGTGACTTGTTTACCGGTTAAACCCCAAACCCTGAACAACCCAGGGGACACTGCACGAACTCATGGCAGGAGACGTTGCGGCAGTTGCGTTGGAGGTGGCCTGTTTGACCGCAGATGCTGCACTGCAGGTGCTCCAGGTGCTGCAAATGCTGCACGTGCCTTAATTACCGGCTAAACCCCAAACCCTGAACAACCCAGGGGACACTGCATGTACTTGTGGCAGGAGACGTTGCGGCAGTTGCGTTGGAGGTGGCCCGTTTGACCGCAGATGCTGCAGGTGACGCCTGCTGTGCATTCCCACGCCATGTGCCCCCGGCTACTCCCCCCACCCACCACGTGCACCATAAGACGTGCACAGCAGGAGAACGCAGTAAGAAAGAGGAAAGAGTGTAGCAGAGAGGAATAAATGAGCGGAAGAGGTTGACTCGTTGCTTGTCACTAAACTTGTGCATTCCCACGCCATGTGCCCCCGGCTACTCCCCCCACCCACCACGTGCACCATAAGACGTGCACAGCAGGAGAACGCAGTAAGAAAGAGGAAAGAGTGTAGCAGAGAGGAATAAATGAGCGGAAGAGGTTGACTCGTTGCTTGTCACTAAACTTGTGCATTCCCACGCCATGTGCCCCCGGCTACTCCCCCCACCCACCACGTGCACCATAAGATGTGCACAAGAAGAGAGGGAGAGGAGAAAAGTTGCAGCAGAGAGGGATGAGAGAGAGAAAAGGTTGATTCCTTGTCATTGAACTTGAGAATACCCACGCTATGTGCCCCCCAGCTATTTCCCCAACGCACGTGTGCGACGAAATGTGAAAAAAAAAAAAAAAGAGGTGCAAAACAGATGAGCTTTCCCACATTTCAAAACCCACCCACCCGCCCATGTGCGTGATGAGATGTGCAAAAAAAAAAAAGGAGCACAACAGAAGAGATTTTTGAGAATTCTCAAAAAAACCCTTCAGCTTTGCCACATCTCAAAACCCACCCACCCGCATGCATGATGAGATGTGCAAAAAAAAAAAAAACAACAACAACAGAAGAGCGTGCAGAACGGGGTGCGGCAGAAAGGGAGGTGTGCAAATTAAGGAATGCGGAATTGAGTGATGACAAAGGGAATGCGATAAGGGGGATGAAATAGAGAATAAGAGTCGGGAATCTGGTTTGGGATGAGATAGGAGGGATGGGAGCTCGATTGTGATTAGGTATGGGGGTGAGAGTGGGAACGAGTGAGGGTATGAGAGTGGATGAGACAGAGGGATGAGACCGAGGGAGAGGGAGAATGGGTGAGAGAGGGGATGCGAGGGAAAATGTAAGAGGGGATGAGAGAGAGGGAAAAAGAGAAGGGATGAGACGGGACGAAAAAGAGAGAGGGATAGAAGAGGGGATGAGAGGGAGTATGAGAGGATGAGGGAGGGTGCAGAGGTTGCGACTTTTGAGAATTCTCAAAAGTCGCACCAATAGAGAGGATGAGGGAGGGTGCAGAGATTGCGAAAAGGGAAGACGCAACCAAGCGATGAAGTAGAGGCGATGACAAGAGAATGGGAGATGTAGAAAGAGGGTGCGTTGGGGGAATAGGAAGACACTGGAAGGAAATGAAACGTACCCGTTATAGTACGTACCCGTTGCATTTGAAGCACGTCTTGATGTTACAGTCCCTGGATAGATGACCTAATCGGCCGCATCGATGACATGACGAAATCGCTTCCATGGCGCCGCCGACGGCGCGTGTTACGGTTAACTCAGTGTGGCGAGGCGATCAACGGTAAAGTTACAGAGGCCGCTGGGGTAACTTCGGACGTCGAAGGGGACGGAGCTGCGGAGGTTGCGGACGTTGCCGCCGTGCCTCCGTGTTTAACGGTCACAGTCCCCGCCGCTAGTAGAGAGAGCTTAGGTTTCTAGTACGTGATCTCATAGGAAATGATTGTGTGCCTCTGAAAACCATCTAAAGGCGAGTGAGTGTTTCCAACGTAGCCGCGATAATTGAAGTGGAAGCTACGGGCCGCGTTGCTACGAGTATTTGCGAGTCGCATCTGCCGTGGTAGCAATACCGCTCCTCCCGCGGAAATACAACCCTAAACGTGAACTTCAGGAAATACAACCCTAAAGGAAATACAACTTCAGCCACGGCTTCGGGATTTCTAGATGCGCAATATATCGCATGTACGTGCCTTCCTCTACTCGGGTTCGGCGGCACCTGCGGGGAAAATCCTAAAAATGAGCGAACTAGCTTTCTACAGTGAACCCTAACCAGCTGATCCTTCACAGGAACTTCAAGGCTGTGTTTACGAAAACCATGCCGTACTATCCGTCATTTCATCACTAGTGTATCGTCGGGAAAACTGACATGCATTTACAATAACATGGATCGAATAGTATAGAGTACACGCATCTGATGGTTTCAAGCCTCGCCACGTGATCCAATCAGGGACCTGTCCGTGTCAACATAACCTTGATGTTGCTGCTGTACAATCTCTCGACGCATTGGCCGCATTCGCAAATCGGAGGTGTAGAGGTTTCATGGCTCCACCAGTCGTTGATGAGCTCTGAGGTGGAAAAATGATTTTCCCGCTAGTCATCAGCCTCGAGCTGCTGGGTTGGTTGGGAGTGCAAATGAAACACTACCACACCAGCGGCTGCCTGGTCTGACTTACAACGGAGCAATTTCAGCAAGTTTCTTTGCGCTTTAATTCGGTAACTTTTAGTTTCAAAACGTTTAGGTACGGTCTTGAGAAAAAGTGAGCGTCGGTCTTGCCCCACGTAAATTGGTTGGCAGTCGACGCTTGAAATTACAATGGCGGCTTTCAACTACACCCTGTTTCTCGCTATTGTGAATTCCAGTATACTGAACCCTGTGGCTCAACGCGCCAAATTACGCGCTATAGTCAACTTTTGCACCAGTTCGGTTTGACAAAGTCAGCTACCTTTGAAGACGGTCGTTTAAACTTTTAATATGGCTCGGTAGGGTACCCAGGTTAATGAAATTTCGGATCACCCGCCTCCTAGAGACAGTTATTGTAAACTTTTCGAGTACGTCCAAAGAACAGTTCCACAGTTCAGTGTGTTTCCGCAGTTCAGTGTAGCGAGAAACAGGGTGTAGCTGTGACCGTTTTTAGTTGTGGCCTGAATTTGCGAATCTGCTGACAATGGTCTTACTGACGTGTAACTATTCAACTCCTCTTCTACTGACTAGTCCCTAGTTGATCACTGTCCGCTTTTTATCGCCAATAACCGATCTAGGAATCCTATGGATTCCTGAATTCTGACTGCGAATTTGTAGCTTGCTTCCTCAACGATTTTTGACAAATAGAAAAGAATATATTATTAAAGTAGAAGCAGCTTAAGTTACATTTGCAGTAGGGTTATACAGTCCGCACTCACTTATCATGGGTCTCAAGGCCCTATCCGAGCTGCACGGTAGGCAGGATTTCCTTCGTTTGAAGGACGTCCGATACGCGCATAAGAGCCATTGTCACGGACCACCACTCTCTAGTGGTCATAGTTTTCAAGTCCGAGCGGGTCCGCGGAAGCAGAAGAACAACTCACAGAGGCACAGCTCTCATTCTGGAGCCGATTCTACGCCGATGAGCACGAAAACCGGAAGAACCGATGGTACAGAGAAGAATAACGCGGTGAATTCGCCGTTTTCTGTTCTCAAAGGCGTGACGCCTGTCAACAGAGAGCCCGTAGCACAGGTATGGTCAGCCTCTGCCGTGCTTTAAGCAACCGCTTGCAATGCAGTGTTTTCTAATTATTTCTGTAGAGCCTTAATCCGATCCTCGTTATCCTTTTCCTTTCCATCAGGTAAATTCCCGAGCGGCTACACGTCAGACAACAGAGAAAGAAAGCACTGGTAGTGAGGATCCGCTTGTGGAAGAGTATTTGACCAAGCACTATGGAAGTGATGAGGACGAAGACATAATTCGGGCGAGCAAACGGACCGAGAAATTCTGGAAGGTGCGTCTTGTAACGGGGATACGTAGACAGTACTAGTAGTGGGAATCCGCTTGTGGAAGAGTATCTGACCAAGTATTACGGAAGTGATGAAGACGAAGACATACTTCGAGCAAGCAAGCGGACCGAGAAATTCTAGAAGGTGCGCCTTGTAACGTGAATTGGGTGAAACCAAAGAATGACCCAGATGGTGAATCTGGTCAAGCGCGCATTTTTACAGCGGGATTATTCAAGCTTCATACATTCATCCCAAATTGGGATGAAAACATTACTGTGTGGGCGGGGTATGATCCGATGAAGAAATTGCCCCTCGTTGCGAGGCGAAATGCTCCCTTCCCCCCCCCCCCCCCTCCCGTCCCCCCCTTCCCCCCCCCCCCACTCCTCTCTCTCCCCCCTCCCTTCCCACCTATGCCATCGGGATCTGGTTGCATCTGCATCCATCCCCCCACTACTTCCAGGCCTTTGCTACCGAGCGCACTGCCTCTGGTCCACCCATCTCTCTCCTTCCCACCCATGTCATCGGTCCCTGGTTGCATCTGCATCCCCCTCCACATCCTCCAGGCCTTTGCAGCCGAGCGCAAGGATGGGGACGAGAAGGTTCCAAGCAGGTTCAGGCGGAAGAAGCTGCCAAAGTCGGAGAGACGAGCGGTAGCAGGGAGTGGGGTTGCGGAGCTGACTGGCGCATCTGCACACCCAGTTGACTTTTACGACATCAGAGGAGAATACTCCGAGTTTGAAAGCGTGTGAGTTTGAAGGGAAGAACATGGGGTGATATTTTAGTGGAGTACAGAATCATTGTGAGAGGAAGAGGGGACGTGCTGAGCTGGCTGGCGCTTCGGCTCACCTGGTTGATTATATCGACATCCGATTTGAATACTCCGATTTTGATCATATGTGAGAGAATAGTGTAGGTGACATCATGGGGTGTGATGAAAGTGGGTCTGACATGGTTTTGCACGATCCTTCAAAATCTACAGGTAATTAACGTTAATCTACAGGTAATTAACGTTAATCTACAGGTAATTAACGTTAATATACAGGTAATCTATGGAGATACTAGCGTTTTTGTCCTACATAAGGGGCGCCAGAGATGAGTCATCAGTTAATTATGGCATGTCGGTGCGGGATGGAAAACCGTTTTCTGTTACAGGGGTTACAACACGTTCGGAAGCTGACCAGATTCGGATGAGGCAGAAGAAGGCGGATTTTACCTCCATTCCGCTCTAAAGCTATTTCTTCCCCTTCTCTCTTGCTCAGACTCGTTGCCTCTGGTCTTGTCCTGCTGCTGGTGGCTTGCCATAACGTGGTGGGCAGGGCACTGCTCATGACAGCTGGGCCAAGCTGACAGCCAGTCCCAGGCTATGTCATGCTTTGCAACCCTCCTCCCCCTCCACCTCTTCCGTCCTCCACACCACACTTCAGCTCCACAGACGCGTTGCCGTTAGTGCTCGTGGATGGCTACAACGTGGTGGGCAGCTGGCCCAAGCTGAAGAAGCATTTTCAACCCCCAACCTCTCGCTTCCCTGTGCACATTCCCTTGTCTCCCCACCCCAGCTCCACAGACGCGTTGCCGTTAGTGCTCATGGATGGCTACAACGTGGTGGGCAGCTGGCCCAAGCTGAAGAAGCATTTTCAACCCCCAACCTCTCGCTGCCCTGTGCACATTCCCTTGTCTCCCCACCCCAGCTCCACAGACGCGTTGCCGTTAGTGCTCGTGGATGGCTACAACGTGGTGGGCAGCTGGCCCAAGCTGAAGAAGCATTTTCAACCCCCAACCTCTCGCTGCCCTGTGCACATTCCCTTGTCTCCCCACCCCAGCTCCACAGACGCGTTGCCGTTAGTGCTCGTGGATGGCTACAACGTGGTGGGCAGCTGGCCCAAGCTGAAGAAGCATTTTCAACCCCCAACCTCTCGCTGCCTTGTGCACATTCCCTTGTCTCCCCACCCCAGCTCCACAGACGCGTTGCCGTTAGTGCTCGTGGATGGCTACAACGTGGTGGGCAGCTGGCCCAAGCTGAAGAAGCCGTTTCTGCGAGGCGACTCAGAGGAGGCGAGAGAGAGGCTGCTGCTGGAAGTGCTGCCATACCCGCGATACGCTGGTAGGTGTTGCTTCAGGTGGATGTTGCTTGGGGTAAGTATCATGGGCGCCTGAACTAGGGCTGTTTCTGCAAGGCGACTCAGAGGAGGCGAGAGGAGGCTGCTGCTGGAAGTGCTGCCATACCCACGATACGCTGGTATGTGCTGGTGGTGTTGCCAGGGCTCGGTGTTGCTTTTGGTTAATGGCTCTGATAGGCAAGAGAGGGGCTGCTGCTGGAAGTGCTGCCATACCCGCGAGACGCTGGTAGGTGCTGCTGCTGATGCTGCTGCCTGTGGGTGTTTCTTGGCGTTCATTGTTGAGGAACCTGATGAAACCCCTAAGGGCGTGTAAGTTTCTAACGACCAACCCAAATGGTCGACCTTTTGGGCGGTTCTGGCAATTGCGAGGAATTAGGCTGATCCGAGTAGACACCCCGATTTGACCGAATCGCGACGGTATTTCCCTAATAGAGATTTCCGCACCGCATTTTGGGACCTACCTAGTTCTATTCCTAGCGGGAAGATAATATTTGTGTTTGCCTAAACCCCCTGTTTTGTTAAACACCCTAGCATAGGCTTCCAATCCCCTTGTATTCCACACCCCTTTCGAATGCAGTACAAGGAATCAAAACTTTCGCTATTAAATAAGAGGGTGGTTTGGGGTGGGTGCCCCAGTTGCTAACGAAATGTTTGGCGGGGTTCTCTCAAGCGTTACATGTTTCGCAATCGCCAGAAACGCACAAATGGTCGGAAATTTAGTTTGGTCATTACAAATTTGCAAGCCCTAATTGTGCGAGAGTACTCAGAAGAGGCGAGAGAGAGGCTGCTGTTGGAAGTGCTGCCATACCTGCGATACGCTGGTAGGTATTTTTACTGGTGGATGTTTCTTGGGGTAAATAAGAAGCCTGAATCTGTGCCGTTTCTGCGAGGCGAGTCAGAGGAGGCGCGAGAGAGGCTGCTACTGGAAGTGCTGCCGTACCCGCGATACGCTGGCAGGTGCTGCTAGGTGCTGGTAGGTGGTGGTAGATGCTGATAGCTGCTGTTAGGTGCTGGTAAATGCTGTTACGGGTGGTTGATGCATGGAATTTGCATGGCTTGAGAAGCCGCAATAGAAGAAGTAGCAGTCAAGCGGCTTATTCTTTCTAACTGTCCTCACTCATTTCATGTGCATGCAGATCCATACATTTCCGTGACCATTCGGGATTCGCTGGCAGTTCTCGATGGGTGTACTCACTATTTGAGAGATTAAAAATGTGATTCCAGTATGGATATAACCTTTGAAAAAAAATCAACCCCTTAGTCAACTCAGTCACCACACAAACTCGTTTCTTCATTGAATTCCTAACCTGTGCAGATGTGCAGGTGCTGTCGGCTTTTGTTAGGTATAATATTCATCTTTGTGATTTCTGAGTTGACTTAAGTCTCACGTACTTTCTAGCCACCCTCTTTCCTCCACATCTCAACCCGCGCAGATGTTCGGGTGCTGGTGGTTTTTGACGGATATAATTCCAACAGCCCTGGTAACGACCGCATCTTGTCGTATGGGTATGTATGTTTCGTGCAACTAACATTTTTACCATAACCCATAGCATGCCACGCATGCCACCCCATCCCATCCCATCCCATCCCATTCCATCCCATCCCATCCCGTCCCTCGCATCGCATCGCATCACATGCCACCTCAGCCCACCCCATGCCATGTCATGCCATGCACATCACCTTGTAATCTAGTCCATGCACAGACTATGCCATGAAACCCCATAGGTATATCCCCATCAACCCCATAGCCTTGCGTGTTCAGCACATGTATGTTGTTCGCCTCGGAAAAGGCGTCACCATTATATTACTTGCCCTTATCCGTATGCCTCACTAGTCTGTTTTTTCTGTAACAGAGAATTTATTGATGTAGGTGTAGTTTCCGTGTGTGGATGATGTGTCCTTTCTCCATGTGCTGATGTGGCAGTGTGGACGTGGCATTCTCCAATGGGATCTCAGCAGATGAATGGATCGAGAAGGAGGTCAGTAGATACTGTAGGAGATTCATCACATGCATGGTATGCATGTTATGCATGGTATGATGTGCATATTATATTGTGCAAATCATGATTGCATATTATATTGTGCACGTAAAACGTGCATAATATAATGTGCATATTATGATGTGCAACAATAATCAACTCCAAGCTGAGCCCTGCTAACGAATGCCCTACACTGCAACTCACCTTGAATCAGTTGACTGGAACTTGCTGTACTCCCTCCTGTCCAATTTCTCTAGTGGCCCTTTGTCGCCCCCCCCCCCTTTCCCCCCCTTGTTCTCCTCCTTTTCCCCCACTCCACCAGGTGTCCAGTCTCGTGCAGCACCGCACTGCACCATACGTCACCGTGATCACATCAGACGTTCAGCTGAAGCTGGCTGTCCTCTCCAGGGTGAGGAGTTGGTGGGAGTTTAGGGGGAGCTGGACGGAGTTGTTGGGAGTTGATGGGAGTTGGTGGGAGTTGGTGGGAGTTGGGAGGAGTTGATAGGGTGGATGGAATTGGTGGAGTGGGAGAGAAGGGGAGGGATGGGATAGGTAGTAGCACCCTCCAAACCCCTTCACTACTTGCTGCTCCGCCCTGTTGTCTCCAGGTGCGGAGTAAGAGGGTAGTGCGGATGGGAAGTATGTAAGGTCAAGCATATGATAGTGACTTTCGAGAATTCTCTTTTGAGAAACTTTTGAGTATTCTCAAAATTTGCTCCAGGGTGAGGAGGCTAGTGTGACGAGTGAGTATGTGGTCAAAGGCTAGTGTGACGAGTGAGTATGTGGTCAAAGGCTAGTGTGACGAGTGAGGTGTTTGAAGAAGTGTTTTGAGACGTCTCAAAACACTTCTTCAAACAGTGAAGAGTGAGTATGTAAGGTCAAGCGTACAGTGGTGGGGTGGAAGGAACCAGGAAAAAGGGGGGAGAAAGGGGGTGGTGGGATGTATTGCACACTCTCTATACCCCATATCCATTTCTTCCGCTCCACATTCAACAATTTACAGGCGTTTCTTCCGCTCCACATTAAACATTTTATAGGCGTTTCTTTCGCCCCACACCCCTCCCATACCACCACACCTTTGCATGTCACAGTCGTTTGTGTTACCCTTGTTACTCAAGCGCTTGGACACATCAGAGACATTTTAAAACTCACCTTCCCATCCACCATACCCACTCTTTTATAACACAATCTTCGTGTTTTTTCTCTTCCCATCCACCCTCCCATCCCCTACCCTCCCACCCCTCTCCATCCACCATACCATCCCTGTTTACAACCCAATCTCTGTGCTGGGTTCTTCCAGGGTGGCTACGTCAAGAGCTCAAATGCTTTTATACAAGAGGTATGCTTATCCTTCTTCACACCAAGGACTCTAAAAAACACCCAGCTTTTGGAAGGTGCGAACATATATCTACCTGTCTTTGGCAGAGCGTGATGCTGCTTCTATCCACCCGTTGTGCTGATTTATTGCCCTTGCCCATGTGCATGCTTCTACTTCCATGATTCCTTTGATAATTCTTTTCTTTCTCTATGTACCTCTTTTCTTTCTTTTTTTTTTTCCTGTCCTTCCTCTTCTTATGAACCCCCCTCTCTTCCCTACCCTCTTCCCCCTCTGTATGACAGCTGAAGGATGCTCGAAGTGATCCAAACGAGGCCCTACAGAGCACAGAGTACGTAGGCTTCTCTCCTCATTTTTGAGGAGCTCCAAAGCCTGAGACAATCTTTCAATCTTCTCAGGTGTAGCCGACTGATGCTCAAAGTGATCCAAATGAAGCCCTACAAATAGCACATAGTACGCGGTGACTTTTGAGTCGACTCAGAAGTGATCCAAATGAAGCCCTACAAAGAGCACATAGTACGTGCCCTTCTCCTCTCCTCCGTTAGAGGAGAATAGAACGAGTTAGGACCGTTGGATCCAAGTCGAAACTATTCCTTTAAGCACATAGTACGTGCCCTTCTCCTCTCCTCCTCCTTCCATAATCCGTTCCCGCTCTCCCCCTAACCCTCTCCCCTTTCTACCATCAGCACGTATAAGCGCAGCCTGCTGGAGCATCAGCTCCCCCAGGAGACCCTTCAAGGGTGACCCACCACGCTTTCTCTCTGTCTCTCTCTCATACACACTCGTGCCTTGCCATCCCCAATCCACAGCACATACAAGCGCAGTCTGCTGGAGCATCAGCTCCCCCAGGAGACCCTTCAAGGGTGACCCACCACGCTTTCTCTCTGTCTCTCTCTCATACACACTCGTGCCTTGCCATCCCCAATCCACAGCACGTACAAGCGCAGCCTGCTGGAGCATCAGCTCCCCCAGGAGACCCTTCAAGGGTGACCCACCACGCTTCTCTCTGTCTCTCTCTCATACACACTCGTGCCTTGCCATCCCCAATCCACAGCACGTACAAGCGCAGCCTGCTGGAGCATCAGCTCCCCCAGGAGACCCTTCAAGGGTGACCCACCACGCTTCTCTCTGTCTCTCTCTCATACACACTCGTGCCTTGCCATCCCCAATCCACAGCACGTACAAGCGCAGCCTGCTGGAGCATCAGCTCCCCCAGGAGACCCTTCAAGGGTGACCCACCACGCTTCTCTCTGTCTCTCTCTCATACACACTCGTGCCTTGCCATCCCCAATCCACAGCACATACAAGCGCAGTCTGCTGGAGCATCAGCTCCTCCAGGAGACCCTTCAAGGGTGACCCACCACGCTTTCTCTCTGTCTCTCTCTCATACACACTCGTGCCTTGCCATCCCCAATCCACAGCACATACAAGCGCAGCCTGCTGGAGCATCAGCTCCCCCAGGAGACCCTTCAAGGGTGACCCACCAAGCTTTCTCTCTGTCTCTCTCTCATACACACACGTGCCTTGCCATCCCCAATCCACAGCACATACAAGCGCAGTCTGCTGGAGCATCAGCTCCCTCAGGAGACCCTTCAAGGGTGACCCACCACGCTTTCTCTCTGTCTCTCTCTCATACACACTCGTGCCTTGCCATCCCCAATCCACAGCACATACAAGCGCAGTCTGCTGGAGCATCAGCTCCCCCAGGAGACCCTTCAAGGGTGACCCACCACGCTTTCTCTCTGTCTCTCTCTCATACACACTCGTGCCTTGCCATCCCCAATCCACAGCACATACAAGCGCAGCCTGCTGGAGCATCAGCTCCCCCAGGAGACCCTTCAAGGGTGACCCACCAAGCTTACTCTCTGTCTCTCTCTCATACACACACGTGCCTTGCCATCCCCAATCCACAGCACATACAAGCGTAGTCTGCTGGAGCATCAGCTCCCCCAGGAGACCCTTCAAGGGCTTCTGGCCATGCGGAGATCGGCAGCAGAGGATGACCCCTATTACCTTAAGTACATCGTGAGTAATACCCCTAGTATCTGTAGTATATTGTGAGTGATACCCCCACTGTTTTAAGTACGTTTTGAGTAGCACCCCTACTATTCAGCTTCAGCTCCCCTCAGGCGACCCTTTAGGGGCTTCCGGCCATGCGGAGATCTGCAGCAGAGGATGACCCTACTGTCTTAATTACATTGCGATTACTACCCCTATTATATTTCGAGTACATTGTGGGTAATGCTCCTACTGCCTCGTGTATATTGTAATGCCCTTACTATCGTGAATATATTGTGTACATTGTGAGTAGTACACCCGCCGTATTTGGTCATGCCACAGTTGGCAGTTCCTTCAGGGAACGCTTTCTTGGCTTGTCGTTTTTTTTCTGCCGTTTATTTTCTTCACACCCAAGCTGCTCTCTCGGAAGCAGTTGTTCATAACATTCCTTCCTGTCCTTCCTGTGCTCCCTATCGTTCTTCCTGCATATCATCCCAACTCATGTGAGACTTTTGAGGCGCCTCAAAGAAAACAGTCGTTCATAACATTCCTTCCCGTGCTCCCTATCGCTCTTTATGTATAGCGTTCCAACTCATGTGAGACGGCCTCATCAGGCGTATGTTTTTTTTAGAATTCTCAAAAAACATACGTTCCAACTCGTGTGAGATGGCATCATCTCGCAGCTCTTGGGCACCTAAGCGTCTCACATTCTCTCTGCTCCCTTGTTCTTTCCCATGCATATTCCACGTGAAGTATGATAAGACCTCACTGAGCACCACTGCCACGTGTTTGAAGAAGTGTTTTGAGACGTCTCAAAACACTTCTTCAAACACCTGCTCCCCTGTTCTTTCCCATGCATATTCTACGTGAAGTATGATAAGACCTCACTGAGCACCACTGCCTCCTCTCCCTGCATTATCGGACAGATCTCAGGCACCTAAGCATCCACCTTTCTCTCGGCTCCCTTATTGTTCCTCGTGCATATGAGGTGACTTTTGAGTCGACTCAAAAGTCACCCCTATTGTTCCTTGTGCATATTCCAGGTGAAGTATGATAAGACTTCCGTAGGCACCACTTCCCCCTCTCCCTCCTCTCCCACCTCCTCTTCCTCTTCCACCTCTTCCTCCTCCTCTTCCACCTCCTCCTCCTCTTCCACCTCCTCCCTCTCCTCCTCCCCATCTGCCTTCAACAGCTCCTCATCTGCCTCCTCTCAACTTTCCAGTCACAGCAGCTCGCCCAGTCATACCAAGCACACCACTAAAAGCAAGCGAACCCACGGCACCACCGCACAGGAAACCTCCCTACACCCATTGAGCTTGCGAGAGCAGCTGCAGGCGCAGTTGGCAACAACACAAGGGGCAGAGGAGGCTGTGGAACCCCGTTCGCTTTCAGCAGCTTCTGCAGATGTCGAGGGGAACAGTAGGGACAGCAGCAGCAACGGCAACAAGAGCAGTAGAACCAGCAGCAGCAGCAGCAGCAGCAGCAGCAGCAGCAGCAGCAGCAGCAGCAGCAGCAGCCCCAGCAGCAATAGTAGTATAAGCCAGAGCAGTGGAACGAGCAGCAGCAGCAGAAGCAGCAGCCGCCGCCAAGGGACAGAAGGTGTTGCAAATGGCAGCACCAGTCAAGACAACAGCTCAAGCCACGGGCTTGTCCGGAGTGCACGAGATGAGCAGATGCTGCAACATCACCGAAAAAAGCAGCAGAAGCAGAATAAGCACAAACAGAAGCACGCTGCGAGCCAGGTACTAAGAGATCTGGACAAGGATCAGCAGCCACAGAACAACGGCCAAAACAACGAGAAGGGGATGCAGGAGCAGAAACAGAGGCCTGGTGAAGCATTGCAAGAGGAGCATGTAAAGCAGGGGAATGGGGCATTTGTTGAGTCGGTTTCCCAGGGATTTTCAGGCGCTCTTGGTAGTAGTGAAACCAGTAGAGCTCTTGTTGCTTTGAAGATGCAGCTGCAGGAGCAAAAACGGCAGGAGAGACAGCAAGGAAGGCGAAAATAACACCATGTAATGGTAGTGTTATAGGCACTACGTCTAGTTGCCACATGCTAGAAAATGTGGTTTCAGCTAGCAGTGAAATTAACTTATCGTGCAAGGTAGTACATTGTACATGGTCGTGTAATGCAACTTGAATGCTGCCAAGCGAAGCAGCGTTTTCTGGCATAGCACTCTGTAAAAAGGCCATTGATTTCGTAACAGTACCATGTAACGATGCGACGTCGCAGGGGAACAGCTCGCTTGAGGCAACGAGGTTGCCACCTCAGTTGAGCCCAAACCACTGGACGTGTGGTTCGGGCAGATGCTTCAGCTTTCAATGGTGTGCCGCCACACAAAACTCGCCATGCTGGCTTGACGAAGGAATCCAGATGGTCTTTCCCGACAGCTGGCTGACGTGTTTTGAGAATATAGTGTTTAGATCCCGTGGCACCTGACGCGGATAGAATCTTTTTTGGTCCCAACCTGCCACGGCAGCAAGCCGTCGTGTGGGTCACATGCGCACAGATCGGAAGGCTATAAATCCCCTGGGCCACGTGGGCCGCATTTCCCGAACTGCTTCCCTAAAGGCCGCGCCTCCAAGCCTCGGGACTGGCGAACGACATTCCCGATGGTCCTCGCTGTCTTCAGTTTTTCACAAGAATCTGCCTTTTCCGCCCCATTCCTGGAATTGTCGGGCCCTGTGCTGCTGCTTTGCTTCTGCTGCTCCCTGCGGCCTGCCTGCCCCTGCCTGCTCTCTGCAGCTGTCCCTCTTTCTTCCTCCTGTCTCCTGTGAAGTTCCGGGGGTGAAGTCTGAGGAGCCATGAATATTGCCGCTCAGATTACTAATACTGCTGCTGCAAGCGCGTCTTGCGTGTCCTCTTTGCTCCAGTCCGGAGTTAATCAGAATCTTAAGAACAGCGTCGCGTACTTGTCGGCAGGAACGAAGCTGCTCAATTTCCCCCGCACGAGCCATCTTATCAGGTGGGTTTGGTGGAGTTCGTTTCTGAGAACAAATCTCATCCATCGAAGCGTCTCAAATGCACCCGCACTAGTCATCTCTGTAGGTGGGTCTGATGCTCCCGCATTCTCAGCAGATTCGCTTCGTAAGATCGAACTTGTTCCAGTCGCACGTATAATAATTTCTCCCTAGTCTACCATTGAAGATTCGTAGTGGGTACTTCAGAAGTTGCCAGAGCAACGACTTTCATGCTACCTTTTAGACAGAGTCCGGCTGTCGAGTTTTGTAACTTCACGAGCAGCTGAAATTTCTTCAACAGTGGCTTTGATATTTCGTTTTCGCCGTCTACCTGTAGCGACTTCGAGAAAAAAAAAGAGCTTACACTCTCGAGGCGACCTTGAGCTGTCGTATGTTTCTCGAATACGCCAGCGTGCATCATGATAATGCGTAGGAATACATTTTGCATGTTATAACCAGCCTTCGGGATGTTAGCATATTCTATGAAATGTGTACTAATAATAAAAAGAAATCTGCACCATGGCTTCGTCTTTCTACTCGCAGGTTGCCAGCGCAGCTCGACCGTAGCCAGATCTCAGTCCGAGCCAGCTCAACCTCCCCGAAGCCTACCATGGTAACGCTTACATTTCGTCCAGACATTTCAGAATTTCCAGCCGCTCTGATTGCGTCGCGAATGCCGTGATTGAAACTGGAATAGTGTTTCCTGAATGATTTCTCAACCTTCGTTTTCCATTCGCGGTTCTCCTCACTATTATGTTTCCTCCTTCCCGTGCAGGCCGCCACTGCCACTGCGACCAAGGCGCTCATCAGCGAATCCGCTGCATGGAACGACCTCAAGGTGCGATCTTTAAGGTGCCCAAACAATCTGTTGCATGAAGTGACGGTTCGCTCCTGAAGCTGAAACGGGCGTCAAGGTCTCTTTCCTCTCGAATTTCCTGTATAACGCAGACGCGCCTCGCAAAAATCACTTTCGAACGTCTACGTCTCCCAACGGGTTTCAGCTAACGCAGCAGATCGGCTTGCACGCTTCGATTGGGTAACCGTAGTTGACTGTAATTAGCAGGAGCTGGCCGTTAGATCGCTGTGGTAGATAAGCTGAAGGAATAGGCTGATAGGTCGCTGTGGTAGATAAGCTGAAGGAATAGGCTGATAGGTCGCTGTGGTAGATAAGCTGAAGGAATAGGCTGATAGGTCGCTGTGGTAGATGAGCCGAAGAAGCTGGTTGATAGATCGCTGTGGTAGATAATGCGAAGAAGCGGGCTGCAGCTAGATAATGTTAAGTCGTAATGTTTCAACGGTCTTCAGTTCGTCGGCGTATTCCCGTTTTAATGGCACGAGTGGCTTTTGGGACGGCTGAAAAGAACCGATGGATCTGGTTGCAGCTAGACTTTGTCGGTAGATTAACGGTTTCCTGCTCTGTGGTGCATCTTCGTTCTATTCATCGGTTTTTGGCTTCAAACGCGCGGTCAGAGACGAATTAGAAGCGAAAGGGTTTCTGCAGCAGCTTCAGCATAGATCGATTACGACGCTTGAGGAGATCGTCTCGTAATTTGTTGATAAGTTGAAAGCGCAGTAGGAAGCGACTCTGACGCGAAGAAGTTTCTAGAAATTCTGAAGTTCGTTGGGGACTCTGAAGATCGTAATGAATTCGTGGCAGAATCACGGCTTCAATGTCCGTTGCACCGCAACTGCTCGCCCGCCCATCTGAAAGCACCTGTCGACCTCTAATGCGAATGTCGAGGCTTTTAGTCGCGCCGTATCTTTTCAGGAAAGAAGCAAAATCTCGCAGCTTCGCGTAGCCCGGCCTACACCGTTCAGCTCTGTTCACCCACACTTCGCAACACCCTTTCTCCCAGCACCTCTTAGCGAAATTCATCACTTAATTTTCATTCCCTCTCTGCGTACACCTACCAGACGAAATCCATGCGTGCACCTGCCTTTAGTTCCCGTTCGCGCACCCTAATCCTCCTCACCACCCTTTCTCGCAGGAGAGCGCTGAAACGCAGCATTGACACTTCCGTTGATTCTACGAAATGTCACGCCTTTGCACGTCGTGTTCCCTCGTTCCTCCCTCTCGTACTCCCCCTCCTGCCTCTTGTCCTCTCCTCCCCACATCTCCCCAGGCGCACAAGGAGGCTATTGACAAGACCCACCTGCGGGACTAGTCCCCCTCTTCGCTCGCATTGACTCATGACCGCGCCGTTCCCTCCTTCCGACCCCCCCTCCCACCCAACCAACCACCCCCCCCCCCTCCTCCCCCCCCCCCCCCCCCACCCGCCTTCCCCCCTCCCTTTCCTCCCCAGGCGCACAAGGAGGCGATTGAGAAGACCCACTTGCGGGACCTGCTTAAGGACGAGGCTCGCTGCGCTGCCATTCGCTCGCATTGACTTGTGTCCACGTCCTTGCATCCCCTCTCCCTTCCCCCAGGCGCACAAGGAGGCGATTGACAAGACCCACCTGCGGGACCTGCTCAAGGACGAGGCTCGCTGCGCTGCCATGATCAAGTGAGCGGCTGTATGACGGCATACATGCCCCTTGCGAGTGTCTGCTTGTAGCTCGTTGCAAGTGTCGATTCTTTTATCTGTAGCTTCTATTCGTTCTCTAGCCTGTGAGGTGAACTTGTGCGATATGACGAGTCGGTTCAGCAGATGTTATGTTAAAGTAATCGCTGCTGTCGCAGCTTACGTTTTCCTTTACAATGCTTTCGAGTTCCGTTTTTTCCCCTTTACCCGCGTGAATTTCGCTACAGGGAGTACGACGGCATCCTTGTTGATTTCTCCAGGCAGAGGGCCACCACTGAGACCCTCCCAAAGCTGCTGACTCTTGCGGAGGTAAGCTAAATAATAATTAAGAATTCTGATTTTCGTATTTATTTTTTTTTGGGGGGGGGGGGGGAGAGGAGGGGAAGTGCGTGGCTTGAATTCTCGTTTCTTTTCCGTTCTGTTTGATTCATTGATTGCGCGGCGTCATCATTTCCATCATCGTTACATGGGTGCGCAGATTTGTCATTCGTGTATTCTCCTGCCTTTGTCCCCTCCACCACACTCTACCAATCGATGAATGCAGGAGGCGAAGCTGAAGGAGAAGATCGATGCCATGTTCAATGGCGAGCATGTGAGTCTTGTTACATGGTGTCATTGCACGTGTTCCTCTCGTGTCTCCCCACTCCCCTCGTATCGTATCACCTCCGCTACGCTCTTCTTACTGACTTCCTGTCGTTCCCACATTCAACCTCCCTTTTCTCTTCTCCCGTCGCTCCACTTTCTCCCTTCGCCCCTCAGATCAACTCCACGGAGAACCGCGCTGTCCTTTCAGAAGTCGACTCAAAGCTCAACTTCCTTTTTCTTTTCTCCCCTCACTCCACCACTCTATTTGCCTCTCCCCTCAGATCAACTCCACAGAGAACCGCGCTGTCCTGCATGTGGCACTCCGCGCTCCCCGTGACGCTGTGAGTAAGAGGAGCTTCCGTACTGCCAGCAGGCAGTTAGCGTGCATGTGCGCGCGCGCGTGTCAGTTGGTCTTGAGAATAATAAGAAAGCCAACGAAACCTGCAACGCTGTAAGCAAGAGGTGCTTGTGAGTGTGCCGGTAGAAGGTAGTGCGCGTGCGTGCGTGTGCCATACGGCGTGCGTGTGCTGTGCCAGAGGCGTGTGTGCGCCACGCACGCAGATGCTCACTACCTCATATCAACTCCACCAAGAACCGCGCTGTCTTGCATGCATGTGGCACTCCGCCCTTCCTGTGACACTCTGAGTACGAGCTGTTTCCGCATCCTCATCTGGAAGTGTTTTTCCTGTTGGCGCATGGGATCAGCTGGTCTTTGTAACAATCGGAATTGATAGATAGCTGAACCCGCTTTTGCTCTCTTTCTCCCGTCCCCAGACCATCAATGTGGATGGCAAGAACGTGGTGCCGGGCGTGTGGGAGGTGCTGTGGTGCCTTCTGAGTCATTCCTCTTTTTGCCCGTCCCTTCCCCCCCCTTTCCGCTTGCTTCCTTCGTTTCCAGACCATCAGTGTAGATGGCAAGAACGTGGTGCCGGGCGTGTGGGAGGTGCTGTGGTGCCTTCTGAGTCATTCCTCTTTTTGCCCGTCCCTTCCCCCCCCTTTCCGCTTGCTTCCTTCGTTTCCAGACCATCAATGTGGATGGCAAGAACGTGGTGCCGGGCGTGTGGGAGGTGCTGGACAAGATCAAGGCGTTCACAGACACCGTTCGGTCAGGCAAATGGGTGAGAGATCGGTGGAGAGGTGTACACCACGGTGACATGTGTGCAAGAGGGGTTTACGGTGGTTGGGGTGGGGCCATGGTTGAAGCCGTGCATGTGGGAGGTGCTGGACAAGATCAAGGCGTTCACAGACACCGTTCGGTCAGGCAAATGGGTGAGAGATCGGTGGAGAGGTGTACACCACGGTGACAAGTGTGGAAGAGGGGTTTATGGTGGTTGGTGGGGCCATTTGGTTGAAGCCGGGCGTGTGGGAGGTGCTGTACAAGATCAAGGCGTTCACAGACTTCGTTCGGTCAGGCGAATGGGTGAGTTGATTGAGATCGGTGGAGAGGTGTACGCCACGGTGGTAAGTGGGCAAGAGGGGTTACTGGTGGTTGGGAAGGGGCCATGGTTGAAGCCGTGCGTGTGGGAGGTGTTGGGCAAGTTCAAGGCGTTCACAGACACTGTTCGGTTAGGCAAATGGGTGAGTGGCGCGGCGCCCTGAGTGAGCGTGTGGGCCAATGGGTGAGCAGAGGCAGGGTGGAAGGTGGCAGCGGGAGTGTGTGGGAGGTGCTGGACAAGTTCAAGGTGTTCACAGACACCGTTCGGTCAGGCAAATGGGTGAACGGCGCCATGATTTTGGTGGGTTGGTGACGGGTCACTGTGGCACATGGGCGGCTGAATGTGGTAGCACCATAACAAATAGCTTTTGGGAGGCAAGGCAGACTGTGAATAATACAAGTGCATGGTCAAACCGTTACTCTCTCCTCCCCATGCATGCTCCCCAATCCCCAATATTACCTCACCTTACAGCTAGGCGCCACTGGCAAGCCTCTGACCGATGTGGTTGCCATTGGCATTGGAGGAAGCTTCCTGGGTCCTCTCTTTGTGCACACAGCTCTCCAAACAGGTGAGGCGGCTTCCGCCACTGGCCCTTGCACCCTGGGTTCTTGAGATAGTAGTTGGACGACGCCTAAATATGAGAGGAATGTGGAGTTGAAAAGTGGGACCTCTGAACCCTGCCCAAGTGGAGAGACTGTGAACCCAGCCCCTTTACTTCAACACCCCTTTTCGACATACCTCCAGGTTCCTGGCTGCCGTTTGTCTGAGCCGTCTGCCCCCTTGTCTGCCCTTTCATCTGTCCTCTTTGCCTCTATGCATCAGATCCGAGCTCTGCCAAGGCAGCAGACGGCCGCAGTTTGCGTTTGTAAGTCCTGACGTTCAATTGGTCTCTGCACTTCTTCACTCAATACGCCCCATCATGCTCGGCCAAATTCCGAGCTTCGAGTCCACGTTTTCAAGCTCTGAACTCGTTCTTTCACAGTGCACAAAACTCGTCAGCTGGTCCCCGTTTGTCTCAGAAATAATTTGTCTCAGCCTGTGTTTTCCGTCGCTCCCCTCCCTCGTCTGATCTTCCACCAGCCTGTCCAACGTTGACCCCATTGACGTCGCCACGGCCCTCCACGGGCTCGACCAGGAGACCACCCTCGGTACGACAAGTCCTCTATGCACCCTTCGCCCAAGCCTACGCACCTCCATTCCATCTCTGGTTCTTGAAGGCGCCTATATTTTGTTGACCCCATTGACGTCGCCACGGCCCTCCACGGCCTCACCCCCCTTGCCTGTGGTGGTGGTGTCTAAGGCATTCACCACGGCAGAGACCATGCTCAACGCGCGCACAGAGACCATACACGTTCGACAGTGCACATGCATGCACTCACTCGTTCATCCCTGTGCTCCATGCCTCCCCTCCCCTCCTCGTCTCTCCTTCCCCTCCCAGTCGTGGTGGTGTCGAAGACGTTCACCACGGCAGAGACCATGCTGAATGCACGCACAGTGCGCACGTGGATCACTTCTGCCCTGGGGTGAGTCCACCCTTGCGTCATATCCACCTGAAACGCTGTCCTATGCACTCGCAGTGCGCACGTGGATCACTTATGCCCTGGGGTGAGTCGACCCTCACATTATATCCACCTGAAAAACACTGTCCTATGCACGTGCAGTGCACACGTGCATCTTCTTCATGAGTTGACCCATGAGCACGACAGCTCGGTGTGTGCGTGCGTTCCTTTGAGTCATGTCAAAAGTCACCTCTCGGGTGGCGAGTTCGCGCATGCGTTGTCCTATGAATAGCTCAATAGGTAGACTGGCACCTTGCACCAGTAACCGTTTTCCCTCCCTCTTCCTATACCCTCCATGTTCCTTTCCTATTCTGTTGCAGTGAGGACGCAGTGGCAAAGCACATGGTAGCAGTCAGCACGAACCTAAAGGTAGGGCATTGCGCTTTTGGAGACGTCTCAAAGCCGTCAGCACGAACCTAAAGGTAGGGCATTGCGCTTTGGGCATTGCGCTTTGAAGTCCAGAGAGCATCACATGGCACCTACTTGAAGCATCACGTTTGCATCCTTGTCTAAGTTTTAACACTTTTATTTGCCGACTTTTACCCCTTCCCGGCCCTTCCATCCCTTCCCTCCCCCTTTTCAGCTCGTCAAGGAGTTTGGCATCGACCCTGCTAATGCCTCCCTCCCTTCCTTCCACTCCACTCTACCCCCCCCTCCCCCTCCCCCTTCCCTCCCACCCCCCCCCTGTGTGTGATCATCAGCTCGTCAAGGAGTTTGGCATTGACCCTGCTAATGCCTCCCTCCCTTCCTTCCACTCCACTCTACCCCCCCCTCCCCCTCCCCCTTCCCTCCCACCCCCCCCTGTGTGTGATCATCAGCTCGTCAAGGAGTTTGGCATTGACCCTGCTAATGCCTCCCTCCCTTCCTTCCACTCCACTCTACCCCCCCCTCCCCCTCCCCCTTCCCTCCCACCCCCCCCCTGTGTGTGATCATCAGCTCGTCAAGGAGTTTGGCATTGACCCTGCTAATGCCTCCCTCCCTTCCTTCCACTCCACTCTACCCCCCCCTCCCCCTCCCCCTTCCCTCCCACCCCCCCCTGTGTGTGATCATCAGCTCGTCAAGGAGTTTGGCATCGACCCTGCTAATGCCTCCCTCCCTTCCTTCCACTCCACTCCACTCTACCCCCCCCCCCCCTCCCCCTTCCCTCCCACCCCCCCCCTGTGTGTGATCATCAGCTCGTCAAGGAGTTTGGCATTGACCCTGCTAATGCCTCCCTCCCTTCCTTCCACTCCACTCTACCCCCCCCTCCCCCTCCCCCTTCCCTCCCACCCCCCCCTGTGTGTGATCATCAGCTCGTCAAGGAGTTTGGCATTGACCCTGCTAATGCCTCCCTCCCTTCCTTCCACTCCACTCTACCCCCCCCCCTCCCCCTCCCCCTTCCCTCCCCCCCCCCCCTGTGTGTGATCATCAGCTCGTCAAGGAGTTTGGCATTGACCCTGCTAATGCCTCCCTCCCTTCCTTCCACTCCACTCTACCCCCCCCCCCCCTCCCCCTCCCCCTTCCCTCCCACCCCCCCCTGTGTGTGATCATCAGCTCGTCAAGGAGTTTGGCATTGACCCTGCTAATGCCTCCCTCCCTTCCTTCCACTCCACTCTACTACCCCCCCCTCCCCCTCCCCCTTCCCTCCCACCCCCCCCCTGTGTGTGATCATCAGCTCGTCAAGGAGTTTGGCATTGACCCTGCTAATGCCTCCCTCCCTTCCTTCCACTCCACTCTACCCCCCCCTCCCCCTCCCCCTTCCCTCCCACCCCCCCCTGTGTGTGATCATCAGCTCGTCAAGGAGTTTGGCATTGACCCTGCTAATGCCTCCCTCCCTTCCTTCCACTCCACTCTACTACCCCCCCCTCCCCCTCCCCCTTCCCTCCCATCCCCCCCTGTGTGTGATCATCAGCTCGTCAAGGAGTTTGGCATTGACCCTGCTAATGCCTCCCTCCCTTCCTTCCACTCCACTCTACCCCCCCCCCCCCTCCCCCTCCCTCCCACCCCCCCCTGTGTGTGATCATCAGCTCGTCAAGGAGTGTGGCATTGACCCTGCTAACCCCTCCCTTGCACTCCTTCCCTCCCTCCCCTCCCTTTCTACCTCCCTCCCTCTCCCTTCCCCCTATTCCCTTTCCATGTGCGGTCATCAGCTCGTCAAGGAGTTTGGCATCGACCCTGCTAATGCCTTCGCCTTCTGGGACTGGGTTGGCGGCCGCTACAGTGGTATGCTCTCGTTCTCCCTCGCTCCCTCTCTCCCTCACTCTCTCTTCCCCGTTTCTCTGTCTTCTACATTTGTTATTCCTCGCCTCCTTTATCCGAGACCTGATTTCCTGCATGTGTAGGCCTCTCACTCTCACCCTGTCCGCGTTGCTGTTCATTCCAGTCATCAGCACCATCGCTGCTTTCCTCTCTCTCCCGTTTCCTCTCTCCATCTCGACTTTCTGACCTGCCCTTGACACTGCCTTTTGCCGTGTCCTTCGCTCTCAATCCCCTCAATATCTGTCACATCCCTTCTGCCCTTCCACCTCCCGCCTACCTCCGTGCAACCTCCCCTCCTCCCTTATCCCTTCCATTCTCCCACCTCCCCTGCACTGCACCTCCCTTGCCCCCATTTCCACCAGTCACCAGCGCTGTCGGTGTGCTGCCCCTCGCCCTGCAATATGGCTTTGAGCACGTGCACAAGTGAGTGCCTTCCTGATCCTCTGCCAAGAAAGCTCTACCCCAAAACCCCGAACCCTCAACCATTGCCCTGACACCCTACACTAGGAGTGCTGCCCCTCGCCCTGCAATATGGCTTTGAGCACGTGCACAAGTGAGTGCCCTCCTGATCCTCTGCCCAGAAAGCTCTACCCCAAAACCCCGAACCCTCAACAATTGCCCTGACACCCTACACTAGGAGTGCTGCCCCTCGCCCTGCAGTACAGCTTTGAGCACGTGCACAAGTGAGTGCCCTCCTGATCCTCTGCCCAGAAAGCTCTACCCCAAAACCCCGAACCCTCAACAATTGCCCTGACACCCTACACTAGGAGTGCTGCCCCTCGCCCTGCAGTACAGCTTTGAGCACGTGCACAAGTGAGTGCCCTCCTGATCCTCTGCCCAGAAAGCTCTACCCCAAAACCCCGAACCCTCAACAATTGCCCTGACACCCTACACTAGGAGTGCTGCCCCTCGCCCTGCAGTACAGTTTTGAGCACGTGCACAAGTGAGTGCCCTCCTGATCCTCTGCCCAGAAAGCTCTACCCCAAAACCCCGAACCCTCAACAATTGCCCTGACACCCTACACTAGGAGTGCTGCCCCTCGCCCTGCAGTACAGCTTTGAGCACGTGCACAAGTGAGTGCCTTTCTCTTTACCTATGCCAGAAAGCAGAAAGGTCCCATTCCAACCCCTGAACCCCAAATCGAACCACTTCGCCTACTCGCACACGTGCTCCACACGATTTGAAATATTTCATAACTCAAGTAATTGGGCTTTTGCACTGCTCCCTCTCTTCCTCACCGTTCCGTTCCCCCTTGCCCATTCTTGCACCCTTCCATTCATCTTCCTTCACTCACAGGTTCCTCAAGGGCGCATGGAGCGTTGACACTCACTTCCACACTGCTCCCTTCATTCCTTGGCCTCCCTTCTTCCTCCTGTGATCTCCCTTGCCCCCCTTGTCTGCCCTTACACCAACCACTCGTCGTCCTTCACGCACAGGTTCCTCAAGGGCGCATGGAGCGTTGACACGCACTTCCACACTGCTCCCTTCGAGTCAAACCTCCCTGTACGTGATTACATTCGTGCTTTGAGACACACTGTAACTCATTCATTCCCTGACTCATGCACCTCACGCAGTTGAGCAGCCTTGAACTTTCTGTCTGTAACCACGAGGTGACTATTGAGCTTACTAGACCTGAAACCCCAAACCCAGAAACCCTGAGCTTGTGTCTTATGTTCCTCTGTTGGGTGGTTCTACTTGCGCTCCTATCAGGTGCTCCTGGGCCTCATCAGCATCTGGAACGTCTCTTTCTTCGGCAACCCTGCCCGGGTTAGTAGTCTTGCTCCTGTGGATCTGCTCCTCTTCCCATCTAGACTGTTGCCTCTACCCACATCACCTTCCTTACCTCTCGAACGGTCCTTTCATTAATGTAGTCCTCTCCCAATCTGCCTTCTCTCTCTTCACCTATCCACCTTCCCTCCCGCGTCCCATGCCCCACACGCCCCATGTGCCTCTTTTTGCACGCCTGCAGGCCATTCTGCCCTACTGCCAAGCACTTCAGAAGCTGGCTCCTCACATCCAGCAAGTAAGAATTCACTGTGTGCTTGCTTGCTCTGAAATAAACATGCTGTTTTTTTTTTTTCTTGAAGTGTTTTGTATGCTGCCCTGCTCCCAAGCGCTTCAGAAGCTGGCCCCTCATATCCAGCAAATGAGTGTTTGCCGCATCTTTTCTTGCAGCTTCCTTGCTTGCTGCTTGCTTGCCACGTGCCTGCTCTCAAACCTCATCTGTAGGTGCTGTTCCCAGAATGCAGAGGTGAGGTGACTTTTGAGTCGACTCAAAACGAGGTGACTTTTGAGTCGACTCTAAAGTCACCTTGCTGCGCGCCTGCTCTCAAACCTCATTTGTAGGTGCAGTTCCCAGGATGCACCGGCAGGCAGCTGCTCAGCCTTTTGCTAATCGCAACTGGCATTGCTAATTGCAGTTCCCAGGATACGTGAGCATGGTTTAGGCTTCGGAATTCACCAGCAGGCAGTTGCTCAGTCTTTTGCTAATCGCACCTGTGGCTCTTTCATTTCTCTCTCCCATCAGGTGAGCATGGAGAGTAACGGCAAGGGCGTCTCCATTGATGGGGAGGTGCTGCCATACGAGTGTGGGGAGATTGACTTTGGCGAACCGGGCACCAACGGCCAGCACTCCTTCTACCAGCTCATCCACCAGGGGCGAGTGGTCCCGTGCGACTTCATCGGGATTATCAAGAGCCAGCAGTCCGTGTACCTCAAGGGTGGGTCATACATTAGAACGGGTTATAAACATGGTGGGAGGGGTGGGTAGATTGACTTTGGCGAGCTGGGCACCAATGGCCAGCACTCTTTCAACCAGCTCATCCATCAGGGGAGGGTTGCGCCATACGACTGAATTGGATTATATCAAGAGCCAGCAATCCGGGTGGGTTGCACTTGACTTGTTGTGGTGGTTCGATGATGGGTTACAACAAGTGGTCCTCGTGCCTCTGATTCTTCGTTGTGCAGTGCAGTGCTGTGAGGTGCTGTGCGGTGCCGTGCAGTGCTGTGCAATGCTGTGTTTAGCCAATATTTGTTGGAATATTTGTTGGGATTCCCTCTCTCGATGTGCACCCTGATTCCTACCTGCTCATATCTTCTGTCATTCCACGTGGTGCTGTGTGGTGCTGTGTGGTGCTGTGCTTTGATCAGGCGAAATCGTGAGCAACCACGACGAGCTCATGTGCAACTTCTTCGCTCAGGCTGATGCTCTGGCCTACGGCAAGGTACAGTTGTGTTATGGAGATGGATTATGGCGAGGTAGGGATGGGGTATGGCCATAGCACTTTTGGTATGCCATAAGTATGGCAAGGGATCATTTTATGCTGGCCGGAATTTTGTTATATTTCTTTCTTGTTCCTTCTCTTCCCTACGCGAATCACCTCACCGCCTACCCCCCCTCATGCTCACCTCCAATCTTTCCTCCTTTTGTTTTGTCTCGCATGTTATTAGCAGACTGGAGAGGAGCTGAAGGCTGAAGGTGTGCCTGACCACCTCATCCCGCACAAGGTGTGGACTCTCTATCAACCATTATCTATCCCCTGTTCCTCATGGCAATGAGCCTTGTTTCCCATCCTCTCTTGCACAAGGTATTTCTCCAGTTTTGAGGCGCCTCAAAACTAGTATATCTCCTCCTACCCCCACTTACCCTCCTCCGAAGTTTCACAGGCAACAAGGCATCCCATAGCTCAGCACCTCCTGCCATCTCATCAAATCGTAATGCATACCACCCTTGGATTCCCGTCTGTCCCCCTCCGCCCACTCCCTCATCACAAATTTTCCACTTGTCTCAGACCGTCGCTCAGCATCCTCCTGCCATCACTCACACCGTATGCCCTTCCCCCCCCTTTTCTCTGTCCGCTTCTCTAACTCCCTCGCTCTCGCCTCTCTCCCTTTCTCCCTCTTCCCTCATCCCCCCTCTTTCAGACCTTCACGGGCAACAGGCCATCTCTCAGCATCCTCCTGCCATCACTCACACCCTACACAGTGGGACAGGTAAAAATATCTCCAAGCCATTTAAGCCCTCTTTCACTGCATACCCTACCCCTCGCAATTTTTCCTCCTCCCTCTTGCTCGCCCTCCCTCCCTCCTGCTCCCCCTCACTCCCTCCCACTTCAGCTCCTAGTGTGGCTCTGCAGGGCTTCCTGTGGACCCTCAAATTCACCGTCCAGCAACAAACAACATTTTTTTTTCCTCCCAACCCCTCTCCACTGCCTCCGTTCCCCTCCCCTCTACCCCTCCACCCCCCCACCCATCAGCTGCTATCGCTGTACGAGAACAGGGTGGCAGTGCAGGGCTTCGTGTGGGGCATCAACTCTTTTGACCAATGGGGCGTGGAGCTTGGCAAGGTAACCCCGAAGCCCGAAACCCTGACGTGGTTGTGAAGAGTGCCTGGGGTGCAAGCATGGGGTTGTCCCCTCCTCTGTTGTCCCCTCTCTGCCCTGTGCCACCCACAGCACAACACACTCATCAACCATGTGCATGTTTCCTTCACGGTCTTCTCCCATATTCAGTCTCCCACGCTGTCCACACTTTTTTTCTTCCTCCCACACTCATCGTCTACACTTGTGCCCCACACTCTCTTGCCCATACTCGGCACACTCGTCGCCAGTGAATTATTCCACCACAAAGTGCTCACCTAACGTATGCCCACTCACTGATCGCTCCATGACCAATATTTCATCGTTCTCCCATTCCTCTCCCACTTACCAGGTGCTGTCGTCTCGAGTGCGCAGTCAGTTTAGGCGATTTTTGGGTTGACTCAAAAATCCCCTCTCAACCTGCCCATGTCTCCCACATTCCTCTTCTGTATTGTCCCACCAAGTGCTGGCGTTTCAAATGCGCACTCAGATGAATGCCTGCCGCACCAAGGTGACTTTTTGAGTCGACTCAAAGTCACCTCCCACATTCTTCTCCCATGTATTTCTCCTACAGGTGCTGGCCTCCCGAGTGCGCACTCAGATGAATGCCTGCCGCACCAAGGGCCAGACAATCGAGGGCTTTAACTACAGCACCACCATGCTGCTCAACCGCTATCTGGAGGTGAGTGATTTGTTGGCGCCGTAATGGTGTGACTGCAAATGGTGTGACTTTAAAACAGCAACTGCAGCACCACCATGCTGCTCAACGGCCATCTGGAAGTATTCTCATCAATATGTTGACGTGTAGTACGGTAATGATTTTGGAGGAAGCCATGAGAAGAAAGTGCAGTTGATGGCTTCAGAAGAGAAGGCAATTAAACTGCACCACCACCACCACCGCCACCACCGCTGCCGCCGCCACCACCACCGCCACCACCACCGCCACCACCACCGCCACCACCACCGCCACCACCGCTGCCGCCGCCACCACCACCGCCACCACCACCGCCACCACCGCTGCCGCCGCCACCACCACCGCCACCACCACCGCCACCACCACCGCCACCACCGCTGCCGCCGCCACCACCACCACCGCCACCACCACACACTGGTGCTGTGAACATGCTGCAGCTTTTGTGACGTCTCAAAAGTCGTGCTGCAATTTGCTCATCACCAGGGTAAGATGCGGCTGATGCGGCACATGAGCCACATACATTTCATGGCACTAGTATACTCCTCTTTCCTTACGTTTTCTCCTCTTTTTCTTTCCTCCCTCACCTTCCCCTCCGCAGGGCAAGACTCAGCTGCTGTACCCCGAGCCTTACAACGTGTTCCCCAAGGACTTGCTGACTGGGGAGGGGGTGAAGAAACCTGTCACCCCTCCTTCCTCCCCTTAAACTGCTTGCTGGGCTCCAGGGAGAGCTGTGTCTCAGGGAACAGCCTTGTGTTTTTCTTCTGTTTTTTTCTTCTTTTTGTAAGAATATTCTGGGATAAGAATATTCTGGGGTAAGAATTTTCTGGGGGATTCAGAGTGTTTTGGGGTGCATAGCAGAGCGGCGGGGCAGAACTTGTTCGGTAGGAGAGGAATTATGTAGGGTTTCTAAAAAGGAGGATCAAAAGCATTGCCACTATGCTTCTATTTATCCCATCGTTGATCTTTGTGTGCGTAGGGTATATAATGAGACGTACCATACATGCTTGTGCCATTTTTTAATGGCTAAAAAACAAACAATACTGTGTACTGTTCTGGAGTCCAGTGTGGCAGATGCAAAAGATGTGAATACATTGGGCTGTGTTTGGTCTAATCTTGGTTTAACAAAATAAGACATTTATTCAAAATGCTTCGCAACCCTAAGACGATTGGTGGTGAATATAACTCTGGCAGGACATATCAATTATAGTTTGGAGTTGACCCAGATATTATAGTAGTTGTAAAACATATAAGTTGCGATGTAGCTCATACGCCAACCTACCCCAACGGCGGCCTTTAACATGGACCTTAATGACGGAACTACCCACCAAAGCAAGGAATATTCGTTGGATTCCCAGAAGATGCGTCCAAGTCAGCAAGGGCACTCCAGCCGGTGGGACATGGGACGCTGGTCCCTTATGCCGCGCAAGCTTGTTTCAATTGAACTACGCGACAACGCATAATTCCAGCTTGTTGGTCGAGTATCATCAAACGCGGAGGAAAAACCACTGCAAAGAAAAGGGTAAGTACTAATAAGAATACCGGGTCTGCTACGTAAGAAAAGCTTTAAAATCCTTATGATTTTTCAACTGCCAATTTCAACACATACTCCAGCTGAAGTACTGGCTTTACGAAGCATCCAGAGAGAGCAACCGATCTATCCATCTGAGTGCATCCAGTCGTTCTCCAGGTTCTACGTACAAATACCGACTGATGCTACCCTTTGAATTACAAGTCTTGCCCCATCATGCTCTATAAAAAATGCAGCGCATTGCGAGAGTACACGACTAATCTCAAAGGCTCGAGGTGAAGGGCAGTTCGGTCATTTACAGCATATCCGAGCCAGCGCGATTGGCTCAACTTTTACCATGCCGAATCACTGATGTGAACTGCTGCCAGCCACCAACTTTGTTGAATATTCGTGTGGCGAGGCGACAAGGGCTGTTCGAAAAAAATCATGGGCGACGAGGGCACCAAGCCTTGCGTCTCGATGTGATACGGTAACAGGCGGCCACGCGACTGGTTCGGTTCAGTTGGACAGCAGGTTTGGAGCTGGCGAACACTGGCGAATTAGTTTCTGTTGCAACCTTGGTGTCGTCTCTAACCGCAAATCTCTAGGTTGCCAAACCTGCTGGCCCACGAAACCTAGGGTTTTCCCAAAGGTTGTCGGAAGTGTAGGAGCTTGTAAACAAAGTTGGTGCTGCTTGTTGCCAACCCCCAACCCCACTCTAAAAATGCTCTCCCTCGGCTTGTTACACTCAGGCAGGCAGCAGTGGATACTAACTTGCTGAGCAAGATAAATGGTTTTCATGGATACCAGCGAACGACTGCTGACGGGTTTACCAGATCTAGTACTACTCATAGAAACAACCACATTTTGCTGTCCCATGCACTAATACTTGATAAAAGGCCTCGGTGATTTTGTTTCCCTCTCTTAGTATAGAAGGGTAAGATGGAAGTGTTGAAAGAATACTTGAAGAATCTTCAAGAGGAGCGAGTGAAGGTCTTGATGTTTAAGAGGGAATTGCCTCTTTGCTTGGATCTTATTGACAATGGTAATTGAAAAGAACGGAGTCTTCATGTTTTCTCTGTCTTTCTTGTCTTCCTCTCCTCTCAAAGTCCTTTGTATCGTGTGCAACAAGTTACAGGCATGCAGGTGAGAGAGCAAAGAAGAGTGAAGCAATGAGAGAGGGGAAGAAAAAGCATTGGTCCTTTGTTTTTAAGAAGGGATCTAGATCCCTCCTCTCTCATCCCCTCTCTCATTGCGTCTCTCATCGCCCCTCTTCGTTGCCTCTCCCTCTCTCTTTCTTCTTGTTGGCTCTAGATTTTCTATATCTTCTCTTTCTTCCACTCTCTCTTGCTCCCCATCACCTCCTTCTCCCCCTTCTTCGTCCGTACTAATCTAATATTGGATTTGAACACCGTGCAATCACACTGAGGGAGGAAGTGTTGGAGGTTTGATGCACATCATATGCATTGTACCAACACAAAATACTGCACAGTCCTCTCTATTTAAGCACGTTCTATGACCGAATCGTTCTTTTCTCTTCTTCGGTTAGTAACAACCGTTCATTCTTCGGATATCAACAACCGTGCGACCGTAACCATGCACATACTATGAGTAATACATAGTCACACTTTCACTGAAAATGCACAGCGTGTGTAATAACACACTTTCATGCAAGATGGAATGTATATATTCAAGTGCCCAAATGTCTGTCTGCCAAGGTAGTTATCATTGGCACTGCTGGTTTTACAGATGCGGTTGCTGCTTTTACTGCTGCTGGTTTGCTGCTTTTGCTGTTGACACTCCCCGTCTTGCTGCTGGTGATGCTGCCTTTAACTCTGATGCTTCTGATGCGTCTGCTGCCTTTAGATCTGATGCTCATGATGCTGTCGCTGCTGGTCCTGTTGCGGGCCTGCTGCTGCTGCTGCCGCTGCTGCTGCTGCTGTTGCTGCTGTTGCTGCTGCTGCTGCCGCTGCCGTCGCCGCTGCTGTTGTTGCTGCTGCTGCTGCTGCTGCTGCCGCCGCCGCCGCCGCCGCCGCCGCCGCCGCCGCCGCCGCCGCCGCCGCCGCTGCCGCCGCCGCCGCCGCCGCCGCCGCCGCCGCCGCTGCTGCTGCTGCTGCTGCTGCTGCTGCTGCTGCTGCTGCTGCTGCTGCTGCTGCTGCTGCTGCTGCTGCTGCTGCTGCTGCTGCTGCTGCTGCTGCTGACATTGGTGGTCAGGATTCTGCTGTAGCTACTCCTTCTGCTGCTGCCTCTGCTGGCACCACCACCGCTGCCACTGCTGCTTCTGCTTCTGCCACTGCCACTGCCGCTGCCTTGTGCTGTTGTTAGTGCTGCTGTCGCTGCTGCTGCCGGTGCCCCTGCTGCCGTCGCCTCAGCTACTGCTCTTGCTGACGCTGGCTGATGCTGCTGCTGGTGCGAATTCTGCTGTAGCTGCTCCTTCTGCTGTTTCCAGTGCCACTGTCGCTGGTGCTGCCCCTGCTGCCCCTGCTGCTGCTGCTGCTGCTGCTGCTGGCGCTGCTGCTGCTGCTGCTCCTGCTGCCGCTGCTGTCACTGATGATGATGCCACCCACATTGTTGCAACGGCAACTGATGCTGTTGCTGCTGGTGGTGCCGCCGCATTTCTTTTTAAGCCACTATCGCCAATGCTAGCTTGACGTCGTATTGCAAATGAAGAAAGATAAAAAATAAAAGAAAGAAAAAGCATCAACCAAAAATCACTCCTCCTCTCCTCTCTCCTCCATCCTCCCCTCTCCCCCCCCCTCTCTCCCCCCCCCTCTCCCCCCACTCCCCTCCCCCCTCCCCTTCCCCCCCCTCCCCACCCACCTTCTTCCAACCCCCACCACTTTTTCTCCCACCTCTTTCTCCGTTTTCCTATCATTTTCCACCCCTCTCCCCCGCCCTTGTTCCATCTGCCATTCCTACTCCTCTCCCTCCTCCTCCTCCTCCTCCTCCTCCTCCTCCTCCTCCTCCTCCTCCTCCTCCTCCTCCTCCTCCTCCTCCTCCTCCTCCTCGTCCTCCTCCTCCTCCTCCTCCTCCTCCACCTCCTCCTCCTCCACCTCCTCCTCCTCCTCCTCCTCCTCCTCCTCCTCCTCCTCCTCCTCCTCCTCCTTCTCCTCCTCCTCCTCCTCCTCCTCCTCCTCCACCTCCTCCTCCTCCACCTCCTCCTCCTCCTCCTCCTCCTCCTCCTCCTCCTCCTCCTCCTCCTCCTCCTCCTCCTCCTCCTCCTCCTCCTCCTCCTCCTCCTCCTCCTCCTCCTCCTCCTCCACCTCTCCTCCTCTCCTCCTCCCTCCTCCTCCTCCTCCTCCTCCTCCTCCTCCTCCTCCTCCTCCTCCTCCTCCTCCTCTTCCTCCTCCTCCTCCTTCTCCTCCTCCTCCTCCTCCTCCTCCTCCTCCTCCTCCTCCTCCTCCTCCACCTCCTCCTCCTCCTCCTCCTCCTCCTCCTCCTCCTCCTCCTCCTCCTCCTCCTCCTCCTCCTCCTCCTCCTCCTCCTCCCCCTCCTCTCCTCTTCCTCACATACCGCTATTCATTCTATTGGCCGTATTCTCTCACCAATCCAGATGTTCCTTCCGCTTTTCACACTCCTGGTGTTGTTCCTTCCGATCCGTGAAATCCCCTCCCATAATATCATACCTTTCAATGGCACCTGCTGATACGCTTTTCCTTCGCTCCTCTGTCCCCCTCCTCCCCACGACCCCCACCTTTTTGCAGCCATCTACGAAACAAAAAGCCGCATAGATGTGATGCAGCATTGCGACAAAGCACCCGACAGGGAGGAGCGAGAGGAAGGGGCCAAAGAGTCCAAAGAGACTGCTTTTGAGGCTGCTCAAAAGCATTGCGCCAAAGGATCTGACAGGGAGGAGCGAGAGGAAGGGACCAAAGAGTCCAAAGGGATCAGAAGGAGCGAGGAGACTCGCTTGCAGGGTGAGGGGAAGAAAGGCACAAAGAGGAGGATCGTGAGGGGAGAGTGTGAAGAGGGAAGAATTCAGATTCAGCTCCTTGGTCTAGATACTTGCAAGGGAAGGGGATCCAATGAGCAATGCAAGGAGGAGCAGCTGATGACAAGAAAGAGAGTGTGCTTAGAAGAGGATGACGGGTCGAAGGAAGATGGCTGTGATGGTGGTGGGGTTGGGAGGGGTAGTTGGGATGGGAATGCTGATGTGGGTCAGAACGGTGGCGCGGATGAGCATGGGCATGTGGATGGGCATGGGCATGTGGATGGGAGTGGGCATGTGGATGGGCATGGGCAAGTGGATGGGCATGGGCATGTGGATGGGAGTGGGCATGTGAATGGGCATGGGCATGTGGATGGGCATGGGCATGTGGATGGGCATGGGCATGTGGATGGGCATGGGCATGTGGATGGGCATGGGCATGTAGATGGGAGTGGTGGTGCGGATAAGTATGGCATGCTGATGGCAGCATGGGAGAAGGTGGGGAAGAGATGCTGTGAGATGCAGCAGATGTGTGCACCAATGCTTTCGATGCAGCTGGAGCTTAGTCTTGGGAATCGTGGCTTGCGAGGGAGTGCTGGGGAGGAGACGAAGGAGGTGGAGGAGGTGGAGAGAGGGGAACGGGAGGGAAGGGCGGGAAGGCTGGGAAGGGAGGAAAGAGACAGTGCACGGCATGTGAAGGAAGATGGACAAGAGCATGCAGAGGAATCTGGGAAGGAGCAGAGGAAAGACGATGGGAAGGATGATGAGAAGTGTGATAGAAGGGAGCATGGGAACAGAGCGAAGGGTGGGGCAGAAGATATGAATGATGATCACCAGAGAGAGATGAGGGAGTGGGGTCGGGAGCTGGGTGGTCTGTGGGAGGTTGGAGAGAGCACAGCACCAGGCACTGCTGCTAGGGCTGTTGCTGTGGCTGCTGCTGTTCCCTTCTTCTCCTGCTCCTGCTCCTGCTCCTGCTTTTGATCCTGCTGTTGTTCCTGCTGCCACCGCCGCTGCTGCAGCAGCAGCTGCTGCCAAAGCCACTACTGCAGCTGTTGGGGTAAACCCTGTCACAGTAACACCTGCCTTCCTTGGTGTTGCTCCTCTTGCCGCCACATCAGGTGGCATGCAACGCAAGCTCACTATCTCCTCCTCATTGGGTAGTGACGCAAACAGGAGTGACTGTATCGGAGGGCACACTACTGCAGCAGCTGCTGTAAATCCTGTCACTTCTGCCACCCCTGGTGTTACTCCTCTTGCCGCCACAGCAGGTGTGACACAACGCACACTGACATTCTCCTCGTGTGGGAGTGATGCAAACAGGGGTGACTATAACAAAGACCTCGCAAGGCATGAGCAAAGCAGCAGAGAAGGCGAGTTTGGAGAGGCATTAAGGGGGCTGGACGAAGAGAAAAAGGAAGCAGTAGAAGCAGGTCTTTTGAGTCGTCTCAGAAACCAAGGCAGTGGAGACGACGAGTTTGAGGAGGCGACTGAGGTGCTGGGAGGAGGGAACGTTGAAGCAGCAGAAGCAGGTGTAGGGACAGGTACAGTAGCAGCAGGTGCAGCAGCAGCAGGTGCAGCGACAAGTGCAGCAGTAGCTGGCACAGAAGGAGCAGGTTCAACAGCAACAGGTGCTGCTGTAGCAGCAGCATGTGCAGTAGCAGCAGCAGCAGGTGCAGCAGCAGCAGGTGCAGCAGCAGCAGGTGCAGAAGCAATACATACAGAAGCAGCAGGTTCAACTGCAACAGGTGCAGCTGCAAGTGCAGCACAAGCAGGTTCACCAGCAGTCATAACAGCAGGTGCAGCAGCAGCAGATACAGAAGCAGCACGTGCAGAAGCAGCAGGTAAAGCAGCAGCAGGTACAGGAGCAGTCACAACGGCAGCAGCAGCAGCAGCAACAGCAGCAGGTGCAGCCACAGAAGGTACAGGATCAGGTACCGAGTCAAACGTGGGTACAGGAGGCGGCACAACTTACAAAGTAGCTGGCAGCGGTTGCACAGGGTCAAATACACGTACAGAGAAACAACACGAGGTTTTGGTGGAGGGGCAGCGGGAAAGGGAATCAGGAAGGAGGGACCAAAAGGAGGGTGCTTCGGAAAGAAAGGGCACTGCTGGAGGAAGCAGCAGCAAAAGGAGGGAGAGGAATAGTCCATGCGAGCAGAAACGTTCTGCCAAAAGTGTCATCAAGGAAATGCCTGCTAGTGGGAGGGATCGTCACAGAGGGAAGTCCTGTGAGGGCAGAAGGGAGATGTATGGAGGTGAGAAAGCATTGAATATTGACAGAAGGACAAAGATGAAGGAGGGAAACAAGGCAGAGGGTATCAAGAGGGCCAAAACAGAGAGTCCAAAGAGAGTTCAGAGTGGTGTGGAACGGTTACCTGGGAGTAAGGATGGTGCCAAGAGTGATGGCCACAATGGTAGTGATAGTGGCAGTGGTGGCGGCGTTGGCGGCAGTGGTGGTGGTGCTGCTGCTTTTGATAATGACGGTGATAGTGGTAGTGAAGGTGGTGACGCTAGTAATGATGGCAATGGTGGTGAGGACGTTAGTGGTGGTTACAGTGGCAGCGACAATGGTCAAGGCGGTGGGGCCAGTGAAAGTGGCAATGGCAGGCGCGGGGGCAGTGGAAGTGGGAATGGCAAGGGCGGGAGAAGTGGTGTTGGTGGCAGTAGCAGTGGTGGGGGGGGTGACAGTGGGAGGCATCATGGGAACAAGGATGGTGGCTCACGAAGGCTACACCAACACACAGGGAGAAAGCAGCAGCGATGCTGGTCACCGGACATCCACCAGCGATTTCTAGATGCGTTGAAAAAGCTTGGTGGCTGCTATGGTGCGTATACAAACCTTTTGGTGGGCCCCCCGTTGTTTTTTCTTCTCCCGTTCTAGCGATGGTGGTCCCCAGTCATCCACCAGCGATTTGTAGAGAGGCTCGGTGGCTGCTACGATGCGTATACGAACCGAATCAACTCTTGAGTCAACTCGAAACTCAATTTGCATATGCATTGTAAAGGCTTGATGGCTGCTATGGTGCATCTGTGGTTATCCCCGGTTTCTCCCCTTCTCCTGTTCCTGTGATGCTGAGTTCTCTGGAGGTTCGCTCACCATGGGATTGGTTCATACTACCATGCATGCAACATGCATAGACGTCAATTCCTCGCTACTTATGGGTGCATGGTACTTCGTGTCAGTAGTTCTGAGTCGACTCAAAACTCAACATGCATAGACGTCAATTCCTCGCTACTTACGGGTGCATGGTACTTTGTGTCAGTAGTTCATTTACTTGCTCACCTCTATTCCCCCAAATTCCTTTCCTCAATACAGTGGCTACACCCAAGCAGATTAAGGAGCTAATGAAAGTTGACGGCTTGACAAGCGACGAGATCAAGAGTCACCTGCAGGTATCCCTGTTGGGTTGGGGTGGGTAGGGCCGGTAATATCTTCCTGTGACATTTTCAACCATGGATGTCTCTGCACCACCATTTTACGCTGCTTGATTTCATATCATTCTAACAAGACAATGCCATGTCAGCCTGATAAGTCATTTGAACTCACTTTACTTATCCTCTCTTCCACACACAGAAGTATCGCCTTCAGAGCCACCATCCTCCTAAAGAAGCATTATCAGCTGCGGCGACGGCTGCTGCTGCTGTTGCTACATCAGCAGCAGCACCAGCAGCAGCAGCACCACCACCACCAGCAGCAGCCCCCGCCGGGGTATCAGCAGCAGCAGCAGCTGAGGTATTAACGCCTCCAGCAACCTCAAGAGTGGGGGGTGGAGGATCAGCAGCAGCAGGAACAGCAGAAGGAGCAGCAGCGTTTGCTGCAATGGTTCCAACATCCGGACTAGCAGCTGGGACTGTGTCTCAAGGACACGTGGCACCTGCTCATTTGCTGGTTTTGGGAAGCATTCTAGTGCCTCCGTTGGCTGGCCAGATCTCCCCATCAGGAGCGCCTAATTGGCTCAGCCACGTCAGCAGCATGCACCAACCTGCACCTACCCTGCATGGCAACGTTAGCAATGCAGAGCAATTTACACTCCATGAGATACAGCAGCTGCAGCAGCAGCGAATTGAAGGGCAGCAGAGCAGCCAAGCAGCACCTCTTGATCCGTTCATGAAGCTCCAGATGCAAGCGTACCAACATTTGCAACAGCAGCAGTCATGGCAGCAGAAGCAGCACCACCAGCCGCAGGCAGCACAACAGCAGTTGCAGACCCAACAGTTGCAGCAGCAACAGCAAATGCCCCAGCTACAACTTAAGACGATGCAACCACAGCAGCACCAGCAGCTTCGGCAGCAATATACGCAACCACCACCAGCGGAGCAAAACCAACTGCAAGGAGGGCCCCATCCCCCAGCCAGCAGCCTTGCCCACATGTTCTCACCTCTTTCTTCTCCAACTGCTCCCATCAACCCTGCTCTTTTTCCCACCAATCCCGCTCTCCATCCCCTAAACCATGCTCTCTTTTCCACCAATCCCGCCCTCCTTGCGCCCAATCATCCAGTCATTATCACAGATCCTCCACCCTCTCATCCAGCCTCTGACTCCCCTTCGCTACCTTCCCCCTTGGTTCGCCCTGTAGCCCGCTCGTTCAAAAGGCCTGCCTAGTCTTTTGGTGGTGAGTGAGGACTGGCTGGGCACGTGGTCTGATGCCTCCTAGTCTTTTGCTTGGAGCATCACGTAACCGCATAACACAGGTTGACAATGGTGATGGGCAAAGCGTGGAATTGGAAGGGAAAGAGGAGGGGAGAAAGTGCGGTAAGCAAGATGGGAAGGGGGTGGTGGGGGTACGGCAAAGGCTTGGATAGGCGGAGTAAAGTGA